GAAACACCGAGGTTGGAAAAGACCTCCAAGATCATCCAGTCCCACCATCACCAATAGCACTCACTAAACCACGTCCCTCAATGCAAAATCCAAACGTTCCTTCAACACCTCCAGGCTCGGTGACTCCACCACCTCCCTGGGCAGCTCACTGCAGTGCCTGACCGCTCTTTTGGAGCAGTAATATTTCCTAACCAGCCTAAATCTCCCCTGGTGCAGCTTGAAGCCATTCCCTCTAGTTCTATCACTGTTACATGAGAAGAGGCCGACCCCCAGCTTGCTACAACCTCCCTTCACGCAGCTATAGAGAGCAGTGAGGTCTCCCCTGAGCCTCCTCTTCTCCACACTGAACAACCCCAGCTCCTGCAGCCATTCCTCATCAGCCCTGTGCTCCAGACCCCTCACAGCTTTGTTGCCCTTCTTTGAAGCCGCTCCAGGGCCTCGATGTCTTTCTTGCAGTGTGGGCCCAAAACTGGACACAGCACTCGAGGTGCAGCCTCACAGCTGCGTACAGGGGACAATCACTGCCCTGTTCCTGCTGGCAGCACCGTTCCTGATGCGAGCCAGGATGCCCTTGACCTTCTTGGCCACTTGCACACTGCTGGCTCGTGTTCAGCTGCACCAATCAACACCCCCAGGTCCGTTTCCTGCATGCGATCTCCCAGCCATCACCCCCAAGTCTGTAGCGTTGCCTGGGGTTGTTGTGGCCAAAGTGCAGGACCTGGTATTTGGCCTTGCTGAACCTCATCCTATTGGCTTCAGCCCAGCTTTCCAGGATGTCCAGATCCCTCTGCAGGGCCTCGCTGCTCCCAGGCAGATCCACACTTCCAGCCAACTTGGTGTCAGCCGCAAACTTCCTAGGGTGCACTCAGTGCCCTCATCCAGGTCACCAATGAAGACACTGAAGAGGACTGACCCCAGCATCGATCCCTGGGGGCACCACTGGTTGCCAGCTGGATTTGGCTCCGTTCACAACCACTCTCTGGGACCGGCCCTCCAGCCAGTTCCTTATCCAGCCAAGAGCGCACCTGTCCAAGCCACGGCCTGCCAGCTTCTGCAGGAGAATGCATTGGGAAGGAGAATACTGTGAGAATGCACTCCCCCACCCCACATCCTGCAGGGCTCGGCTGCCTGCTGGGCTTCACTGCAGCACTCAGCAGCCTCCACCTTCCCCTTCCCCTTGGAAAAGCAGAGACGAGACGTGGTCTGTGTTAGTTTCTTTATTAATTCATAGTCCGATAGCTGGTGTACTGGGATATGATCTATACATCAGGGGCTAAGACAGGGAGATCCAAAAGGCTTGTTTCCATAACAATTAAAAAAAGGAAATAAAAGTAATTTTTAAAACTTCTAAAAAGCTTCTAGTGTGCAGACTGCTGCATTCTCTAGGCTCAATGTTGGGTGCAGCCTCCCCCTACCAGCCCTACGAGCAATCTGAGCGCAAAGCAATGTCACTGCAGGTGCCGGGCACAGTTGCAGCACAGCACATTCCCTAAGGCGTAGACTAGGCCAAAGCACAGGACCCACACACAACTCTACGGTGATGCTACAGGGTCAGCTGTTGCAGTGGGTCTAGGTAGGTTATTGTACACAGCAAGGGTAATGGATGGAGTCTGTGCCTACTTTGAGGTGGGGTGAGGAAGGGGTTGCCTTGCTTTCCATGGCTAAGCTGGGCCATTTGCTTTGCTGCATCTGGGTTTTTTATCCAGACTGCAGCAGAGCCAGAGACTTTCCTGGCACGTGTGCACCCACTGTGAGACAGGGCTGCCCTGCCTGAAGCTGGAGGTGGGCTTGTTCTGCATGTGGCCACCGAGAGCAGCATCAGGCCCTGCTAAACAAGTCCACAGCCACCTCTGGGGAAAGGGCAAGGGGGTCTCCACACCACCATGCTACAAAGGCCAGGCCCCCTCATTGCTTAGGTAAAGGAGAGAGCTGGGGACACAGATCTACTGCTGTCTGCATCCTGTCCTTCCAGGGTCAAGTTTTGTAGCAGATTCAACCTTCTGCACATCTCAGTGCTGCCTGGGCAGCCCTGAGCACCACGATTCTCCTGCCAGAACAGCTGCCCCAGCACTGCCCTTGCTTTCAGGGTGACTGCTTAGCTCGGTGGCTGCAGAAAGCATTCACTTGGCCAAAGTGCAGCCACTCGAGGAAGCAGCTCCCCCCATTTCTGGGATTGGTCCTGGGTGGGCCAACATCCACGGGGTCAAGGGTCTGTGCTCATTTGTGCCCTCACAGGGAGGCCAGGAGGCCCTGCAAAGTAGTGCAGGGCTTCTGGCTCCTGCCAGCTCCTGGCCCATCTCCTGAGCAGATATTGTGCTGAGTAGAGCTAGGCACAGTCCAGTGCGTGGCACAAGCCTTTCCTGCTCTCACTACCTATCCTCCCTGGGCCCCAAGCACCTCAGTGCAGGCTGCCAGCCTCACCCCAGCTGAAGCCAGCACAAACTGGGGCTTGCACCATGGACCAGCCCATGGGGCTGCCCCTGTGGGCCTCTCTCTTCAGGCCAAGAAGGGACCAGACTCAGATGGAAGGGCAGGACAAGACAATCTGCCACCCTGTCACACCTGTAGGCTCCCAGCTCTATTCACCAGAGCTGCTCACATACTCCAAAGGCTTTGCCCATCCTGCAGCCTGAAGAGGTATTTGGGAGTGGAGCTGTTAGTGCTTTGTACATACTGCTAGAGTGTCCCTAGGTGTTTGCATAGTATTTATTGGTTCATATACACAAGGCTGATTGCTGTACAGTTTACACTTTCAACATAAGCAACGAGCTCAGTGCTCGGCCCAGAGCCCTGCCCTGGCAGGAGATGCTGCACATGCTGGGGAGAGGAAGGGCAGCCCTGCATCAGGCAACACTGCACCCACAGCCCTCCTCTCTCACATCCCCCTATTGCTGCCCTCCCCCTGCCCCAGCACTCACTGAGAGGGATGAGAAGCGAGTCCAGCAGAGGCAAGAATGGTGACGGGGATAGAGCCCCTCTTCTCCTTCAGTGAGCAGCCCCAGCCTCCTTCCTGCCACTGGAGCACTGCACAGGGATGTAGTGACGCAGGCGGACGTGCGAGGGTGGATTCTTCTCCCCTCTCATTTGCTGCCAGTCCAGCTCTGGCCTCCCAGAGGAGCTGAAGGATGCCCCTTGTGCGTGCTGCTGTCTTTGGGCTTCCGATGGCAGCAAGGCAGGGACAGGGTCCCTCTGTTTGCTGGAAGTACTGTAGCTCATGCGTCTTGCAGTCAGTCAGTCATGCGGATAGGACGGTAAGTATCTCGTACAGAAATCATGCCATTAGCCTATTGAAACATGTACAGCCAGCCCTGCTTCCCTCCAATCTCTGTCTTCCTCTCCTCTCTTCTCAGGTTGGTGTGGAGATCAGTGGTTTGGTGTTGAGGTGAGATCCTGGGGAGACACAGAAAGACGCAGAGATGGGGTCACCAGGCTCACGTAGTCCCAGCCTACACTTGTTCCAAATGCACCCATTCTGACCACCCACAAGATGAGTTTTACAGCAGGGTGCCAGAGATGCAGCATCAGAGCATCGATGAGTGTCCTGCCTGGAACCCTCAGCAATGGCACAGATGGTACCAGTGGTGCCACCTCAGATGCAGAGAGCAGCAATAAGTAGGAGCTGAGCTTCACCAAAGCCAGAGCAGCAGTGGAAGGAGCTGGGAAGGCTGCTGTACAGCCTGGGACAGACATATCCCATCCATTGGAGGCCAGCCCTGTTTCAACAAGGGTGACTCACTGCACCTTGTTCTCACAGCAGCATGGAAGACCCCATAAGTTGTTAATGCATTTCCTGAGCTGCTTTTGCATGCTGTAGAAAATAGCAAGAGTAAAGCAGCAAGTAGACTGCCTCAAGTGAGGCTGGCCCAGGGACTCTCTAGGGACAGCTGCAGACAATAGACACTGTATGACCATATGTCCACAAACACAAAGGTCTTGACTATCATATACCACAGATATCTCACTAACAAAAAGTAGAAATTGGAGAGAGAGAGGAGACAGACACCATCATGCACATACATCCCTGCTACCTTTAACCCAGCAGTACAAAGAGCTGGCACAAAAGGAAGAGCAAAGCGGGGGGGTTACCTCCAAAGAGGCCATTTGAGGGGGGTCAATGCTTCCCCCTTTTCAGACTGGCTCGTTTCACTATCTGAGCCCCCATCCTGCTCCCGGAGACCTCCAGTTTTGGGACACGCACTTGCACCTCCTCCTGAGGGAGCCACAGGGACAGGAGGCAGGACATCACCCAGGTGAACAGACAGACACAGAGAAAAGGACAGGAGAGGGAAAGGCTGAGTCAGTCAGCAGAAGACACCAAGCAAGAAGACTGGTGCAGGGGCAAGAGCAGCCCCTGGCAGCCTTAGGAGGGAAACAGGTGGGAGAGGTGAGCAGGACAGAAGAAAGGACAGAGGATGGAGGAGCCCTGGAGCCCACAAGTCCTGCAGAGGCAGTGCTGGCCCTGAGTAGGGGACTTGCGAGGCACAGCCATGAACCACACCATACCTTGGCCCCCAGACCGTCCCTCTGTAGGATGGAGTACATGAAGTGATCAGCCTCTGCCTCCAGGTCTTGGGGCTCCTGCAGGGAGCCCTCCAGGATCAGGTCCTCACGCTCCTGCCTGTCATCTGTGTCATTGGGGCCCAGATGACGCACCACCTTCCGGATGACCTGCGGAGACCCATGCAGCCTTCATCACTGCCAGCCCCGACACCAGCCCACACAAGAGGACACGGCCAGCCCCGACACCATGCCTTCCTTCTTGCAGGTCTGGCCCTCAGCCCCGTGCACACCACCCCCTGGCAGAATCTGTGGCTGGAGAAGAGCCACGACAGTAATTAGAGAAAGCAGAATGCAAGCACCCTGTGCAGGGCCCTGGGCTGCAGAGAGGGGCCACATGGAAAGAGAGAGGAGGAAGACTTTGGAGAGCACCCTACAAAGACTCAGCCCCATTCACTCACCTTCTTGGTGATTATATTGCCTTGTTCATCTGTGAACTGCTCCTCAGTTACATGCTCCCCAGGTAAATGGAGGACTTCGTTGCCCTGGAGGGACAGGAGGAAGAGCATTTCAGGGTGCAGCAGAGCTCTCCAGCACGCAGCCCGGCACACACACAGCCCCAGCCCTGTCTCTGCTCTCTGCTGTGCACCCCAGCACTGCTCCCTGCCCATTACCTTCACAAGGACACGCCGGCGGACGACTCTGGTAGAGAAAGACTCCTCGTCGTCCGCCAGCCCCTGGCTCTCCCCGAGTTCCTTGTCCAGCTCGCGGTGCGCATGATTGAGCAGGAAGCGCACAGAGCCCCTGACGATGTACAGGACATTCTGGCAGCTGACCAGGAAGAAGGCCAGCAAAACCACGACAATCAGCAGCTGGACCAGGAAAGACCACATCCTGCCCCTGCAGGGTCGTGCATGTGCCCCACACCCCCTCTCAGAGCCCAGCCATGCTGTCGGTTGTGGCGGACAGAGCTCTGGGCACAGGAGCTGCCCACAGGTCCGCACGTCTCTGCAAAGCACTGCTGTAATCCTAGCTGCTGCAGATCAGCTGCCCGGGGCGGGAGAAGGGAGAAGGCAGGTGGGGTGTCCTTTGCACTCACAGCTTCTGTCAAAGTCATGGGATTGGGACTGCAACAGCAACACCCGTCCCCTGTCAGGCAGTGACAGGGACAGCCATGACCCCCTCCCCAGCAGCCTGACAGGGCAGGGAGCAGTCATCTGTCACAGGACAGACGGAGCTACATGTGGCACAGAGCTGAGCTCTGCTGTGTTGCAGCTGCAGTCCTGCCGTGCCTGCTTGGGGGCACACGCCTGCTCTCATCCCATCCCTATCTGATCCACATGGCCATGGCAGGATGCCCATCACCCCTCCTGGCCCCCAGACCAGCTCTATTTCTGGCCCAGTAAGCTGTCAGGCCAGCGGCCAGGGCAGATACTCAATAAGGAAGCAAGCAGAGGGCCTGCCTGAGTTATAAATGGAGAGCAAGAGCTCACATATTGGGTGTGCAGCATTCTATTCTGGGCCAAGAGGCACTCCAGGGGCCAGGGCAGCAGTTCTGCCGGGACTTCTTGATCTGGTGGTGGGCAAAAGGCTGCATCCGCTGCTGTTCTCAACCTCACCTGCCCAAAGCCGCGGCTGTCGGGCTCCTCTGGCCAGCCGCCCGCGGGGTGCTGGGGCTGCCAGTCGCTGTCCTCTGTGGAGCTGACCCGCATCAGCTCCACATCCGGCGCCAGGACCTGCTCTTGCTCCTGGCCCTGCGCCCCAGCAGCCACGGTGTGTGCTGGGCCCAGCCGTCGGGTGACCCCCTCCTGCCAGGAGCCCTCTGTCAGGTCCTGTAGGCAGGAGATAAAGGAGCCTTCTGCATTCCAGTCCCTCAGCCTGGACGCCGGAGAGGGACAGGGAGAGAGAGACAGAGAGAGAGAGGCAGTCAGCTTTGTTGGAGTGTTGCACCCAGAACACCAGCTGACAGCTGGGCACAGCTGCACCCCGCCAGGCACAGAGCTCCTGGTGCTGCCAGTGCCTGGCACAAGCAGCATACAATGCAGATGCACAAAGGGCACAGGCCTTCTCCCTGCCACGCTCTCTGCCCATCCAACACCCCAGTCTGCAGGCTTCCGGGCCATGCCTCGGAACATCACTGGGCTGTCATGGCACCAGTGCTGCTGTGAAGATGGCAGAACAAAGCCCTGAGATGGTGCTGGGAGGCACAACCCACATGCAGGGCCCGGCTGTCTGCGGGGATTTCCCCTGGGTGTTTTTCAAGGAGCCCCCAGAGAGACTCCAGAAGGTTTACAGGCACTCTGCCCAAGCCACTGCTCTGTGCGGGGTGCTGGGCTCCAGAGCTGGAGGTTAGCAGGGAAGCAAGCGAGGCTGGGAAGTTATTGCAGCTGGCCCAGCACAAGGCAGTAGCTGGCGAAGCTCCCCTTCCACTGCCCCCCTGTCACTGGGACCACCATACCTGTCTGCACTCCTCTCCACTGTGTGGCTCACAGTCGGCGATGCCACGATCCTGGCTTGTACCTTCTGTTGAACTGAAACAAAAGAGACTTCACCCTCTGGGTTTTGCTCTCCAGTCCCCAGCTGGCGGTCCCTGGCTGGCGTCTTCCCTTCTGGCCTCTGCCCTTCCTCCTGCTCTAGCAGTTCAATCAGCCCATTCATGGCATCTGAGTCCACTGTGTCATCCTCAACTAAGTCCATAGAGCCCATGTGGTCTGGGCCGTGTGCGTCTGTCAGAAGTTGCCCTGGGAAACGACCTTCGCTTGTGGCATCCGAGTCCTCAGCCTTGCTGCACTCCAGAGAGGAGTCCTCAGCCGTCACCAGTGAAGGGGTGAGCCCTGAGGACCACACCTGCATGTCAGACATCTCCATCAGGGCGTCCTGCTCGGTGGCGGCCATAGGGATGGCGTCCATGATGGCCACCTCGTTCCAGTACTGGTCAGCACGCAGAGGGGATGGCAGCATATAATGCAGGGAGGCAGGGGAGAGCAGCTCGTCCTGCAGCGAAGCATAACCTACATGGGCAGACAGAGGCGATGTCTCCAGCAGCCATCTCACACACACACAAGCACAGCGGGGCGAGAAGGGAAGGAGCCTCTGGGAGGTGCGCGCTCACAGCGGCTGCTGCCTTCGCGCAGTCCCTCCTGTCCCTGCAAGTGCCCCCGTGCCTCACTCTGAGTGCTGGGGCTGGGCGGCCCCTGAGGCTGTCCATTCCCCTGGTGAGGACAGGCCTGGGGACTGGTGATGCCCCATCCCCACTGCAGGACATGGTGCCCTCTCTAGCACCCTGCTCTACCAGCCCCCAGTCCCTGCCCACAGCCCCCAACCAGCATCTGAAGGTCAGCCTGGAGCTCAGGTAGCCAGGTGCTGCAGGCACCAAATTCCCAAAGCTGACCCATGAGCAAGGAAGGATGATCCTGGCAAATGCCATGCAGCCCTGAAGCCCTGCAGGATGCAGCCAGGGCCCTATAATCCCACTGATGTCCTCAGGTCTGTAAGCAATCATCGTGTCCTCATGCACAGCCCAGGCACACCAATAGAGACTACAGCCAAGCCAAGCAGTCTCAGGCATGCAGGCAGCAATTTTTTTTCCTTTACTGAGCCACAAGCTCAGCCAGGGATCATCAGGAGCAGCTGGAGCACAGTGTTCAGCCAGGAGCCCCCAGCCTCCCCAATGCAGGGGGAAAGTAGTGCAGGGCCACTAAGGGAAGAGCATGACACAGCCAAGAGAGAAGCAGTCCTGGGTGACATGCAGCTGCTGGAACAGGACACTGCTCCCAGAGGCTCAGCTGAGGTGGAATCAGTGTAGACAAGCAGAGGAGGAAGATGAGAGAGGCCAGGGTGAACTCGGAGGTGACAAGAAGTGGCCCCCAGGAATGCCCACATCTGGTGGCAGTAGGTGGCACATTTAAGAGAACACAACAAGGGCAGATACGAAAGGGGAAAGCGATGAGCCAGAGCTGCATGGGTGGTGCCTGGGGGCAGGACAGCAACAGCCCCATCCCTGCCCATGGCACTGGCTCTCCTGTGGGACACGTGGCTGGTCCTGCTCCCAGGCACAGCCATGGCTGGGCACAGGTGATGCTGGGAGCAACAAGCCAGGTGCATCCTGCACTGGTACCTCAAGAGGAGGATGCCCCATGTGTCTGTTCTCCATGAAGAGCAGGACTAAGGTTCCCATAGCACAAGTCCCCATGGAGAGACTGCAGCTATCTGCAGCACCTGGTGCTCACCAAGCTCCTAGGGGCAGTGCAGCTGACTTGGGACAGACATCAGCCCCACTGTGTCCACAGCGACTCTGCTCCTAGCCCCTCTGGTATCCCCTGCACAGGACATGGGGCTCACCATTCATCTGGGAGGGTGAGAGTGAATAGTCCCTGTCTGTGTAGCGCCAGCTGCCCTTCATGCTGCGGCTCTGCCGGCCGGAGCCCTCCAGTGTGCTGACGATCTCGCTGCGGTCAATGTTCCTCAGCGCCGTGTACAGGTTCTCAACTGCAGGGAAAGCCAGTGTCAGTCAGCAGGCAGGGCAGGCTGGCAGTTGTGGCCATGCCCCAGCTGCCCTCCAGGCAGGTGTGCAGGAACCGGTGGTCCAAACTGAGCCAGGGAGCCCTGAGCACACACATATAGGCTGCACGCCCAGCCCAGACCATCACCCTTGTAGTGGGAATCAATACTCACTCTTGACACCCTTGCCCTCGCGGCTGACCCAGAGGTTGAGTAAGGCTATGCTCTGCTCCAGCAAGGAGTTAGGGTTCTCCACACGAATCCTGTTGATGTCATCCACCCCAAACTGCAGCTCACGTGCCAACTCTGGGAGAGACAAAGCATCTCAGCATCACATCCATGGGCAGCTCCCCAGACAGCATAAAGCACATTCACGCAACCCTGCAGCATCTTTTTAGTCTTCCTAAGTGCTGAGCTTCAAGGTGCACTGAGCATCCATCAGCTGAGGACTCACCTGCCCAGCTGAGGCCGAGCTGCTCTGCGATGTCAATCATCTTCTGGTCTGCCCTGTCAGTGCTGCTCAGAGAGCCTGGAGGAGAAGAGGGGGTCACAACTCCAGCTGTGGGTTGGGGTAGGAGTGAGGTGCAGGCTGCAGGGGCTCAGCATAGCCCCGCAGGCAGGACCAGAGAAATTCCCTGGGAACAGGAGGATACCACGCACGCAAGTGCAGTAGGGTCATCCCAGCCCTTCCTCCTGGGCTGGGCACCCCTACCCTAAGCAAAGGAGGTGAGATGCTTGAACAGACCAGTAGGCTGCGTACCGAAACTGCTCTCACTTAGGATGCTATATCGCTCCCTCAGAGACAAAGGTGTCAGTGTCCTCCTTCGCTCCTCAGTGCCACTTCCCTGCAAAGTGGGGACAAACCAAGGGGTCACCAGCCAGAATAGAGAGAAACAGCTCAGCCCTGGCACCTGCACAGCCCCAGCACAGCATGGTGTGGCTGCTTTGAGAAAGGAGAGCTGACCTTAGTGCAGGGTGGAATGCTGATGTTGAGGTGACAGAGCACATGCTGCAAGTCCTCATACTTCATGGCCTTGCGCAGGAAGGACAGGGAGCCACTGGCTTCTCGGCTGCTGTCCCGGACCTGCACACCAAGCACCCAGGTGGGGGGTTGGAACAGGGCACAGGGTCCCACCACAGTCCAACTCTGCACCTGCCATTACCTTGATGGGGAGGGCGAGGCGGTTCTCCCGGAAGGACTGGAAGAGGAAGGTGCGCGACTGCGTGGCCTTCTTGACGGGCACCAGGTTCCCTGAGAGCTCGACATGCAGAGGCATTCCCTCCACCACCTGCAGGGAGTGAAACACGGGATAGGACCCTGCACAGAGCAGCTTCTTCCTTCTGTCCTCTAGGAACGTTGCAAGAGACAAACCTCAATGTCCCTGCTGCGGGCCACCTCAGTGAAGTTCTCGTGCTGCTCCAAAGTCTTGTCCACTTTGTCATCAGTCATGCAGTAGCAGCGCAGCCGGCCTTCCCGTCCATCATTCATCTTGGCAAATACCACAAATTTGGCCATGTAGGGCACAGCTGTCAGTTCCTTGTACAGCATGGTGGCAAAGTGCACAGCCTCAGCAGTGCGCGGGCAGTCAGCCAGCCAGAACCTGTGGGAAGGGTGGGTCAGAATGGGGCACCAGGGGGGGGAAAACAGCACCACATAGGGTGTGAAGGAGCTCCAGGTGTGGAAAACCTATCCAGGGCAGGGATCTTCCCCAGGATAAGAATCCTATTCAATTACATGCTCAGCCACGACTCACCTGGCAGACACATTGGTGGTAAAGTTAGCGCACTCCTTTTCATAGACCAGCTTCGTGGTGCCTGTGATGTCTTCCCACTGAGCTTGTGCTGTCCCTCCTGCAGCAGCAGAAAGCAGGATTAAGCACATTGCTTTCTCGCTGCAGTGGATCTGCTCTCCCCGCTGGACTGTGCAACCTATCCTTGGCTTCCAAAGCTGCATCCCACCTCGGCTCATCCTGTTACCAGCCCACTCATGCACCTGGCCTCACCTATCACAGAGCAGAGCAGGCGCAGGCTGGTGGTGTCACCCTCGCCACTGTCTCTGGGATTGTCCTTCCAGGATGGGGGCAGAGGGATGCGGAGGCCAATGGGGCGGTGGAACTTCCTCCGGCGAGGCTCCACTGTGACGATGGGGCTGAAGGTTGCCTGGTTCCCCAGCAGCTTGGTCACCAGCTCATCAGGCACGGGCTGCGCCTGTGGGCAGCACAGGTGGGGTGATCGGGGCCAGCTCTCTGCAGTGCTGGGGTGCAGCTGGATAAGCTGCCTTTTCCTGCCTGCTGGTCTCCAGACCAGGCTCTTCAGCACCTCACCTGCAGAGCCAGCCTCACTTTCTTGGTGACAGCGGTGTCTGGGAAGGTGGCCTGCACCATGGGCACCAGTGTGCTTTTTAAGCACCCTCCCTCGGGGCCAATCATGTCACAGTCCTGGCAAATCCGGGACATGACCACGAAGTAGAGAGGAAAGTCAGTGGTGATGATGCGGCAGACCCTCTTCTTCTCCAGCTCCTCTTGGCTCTCCAGCTCTGCAAGTGCAGCACAGTCATCAGTGCTCCTCCACAAACCAAACCCATGACATCTACCTCCTCTTTGGCTGCACCAACCATGCCACACTCAGTTCCATACCACCACCTCCCAGTGCTGGCCATTCCCAGGACAGCTGCAGTTCTGGCTGGAGTGTCAAGCCCCCAGCCTGGCACGCTCACCCTCATCCATGCCATTGAGCAGTTGGTCCATGTAACTCTCCTCATAGCGGTTGCGGTGTTCCTTCCAGACAGAGCCATTCTCACTGCGTAACACCACCAGCTCACGGTCCCCTCGTCCGTAGGAGGCAAAGTGAGGAATCTCCACGATGACAGGGCTGCAGATAAGGGAGGAGGCATGCTTACACCATGCTGCAAAGGCCCACCCCAGCATTGTGCTGTGCTTGGCCAAAGCTAGGACATCTCCTGCACAGAATCCCCACAGCCAGCCAGCCCCCAGAGGAGCCCAGATCTGTCCCTAGCTCAAGGGATGGCCCCATTCCCTTCCATGCTCACCTGAGGAACTGGGCGCCAGCAGGTCCCAGTGCAATGATGCGGCTCGCCAGGCCCTCCTCCTCAGCCAGCGGTGGGGGTGCAGGCAGCTTCTGAGGCTTCACCAGGCGGCAAGTGATGCGGGTGGGTGCAGCACAGGCACGGGGTGGGATGATCACACGCAGCCCGTGGTGCCGGCTGCCCCGCATGGAGCCGCCGCGTGCATCCACCATGAAGCTCACCAGGAACCTGCAGCAGGCAGAGGCATAGGCAAACAGTGCCCCGCAGCCAGCTCACACACACAGTGCTGCTTTGGGCAGGCACTTACCCTGTGTGAACGGGGCTGGCCACAGGGCTGATGTTGTCTGAGGTCTCGGTGGCCGGGCTGCTGGGAATCAAGGAGTCCTCATCGAACTCCTTGGAGGGCTGTGCAAAAGCAGGGAAGAGTCCCAATGGGCATAAGGTCCTGTCTGGTGGTGCTGGGCCTGCTCAACCCTCTGCACTCCTGCATTCTGCCTTGGCAGCCCTGTACCATCAACCCATCCCCTCCACCCCCGACGTTTTGGCTCTGGGCTGACAGAGGAGGGATATTCCCCCAACAAGAAATATACTAGAACTGTGTCACACTCACCTCCTGTGGGGACACCGAGGGTGCGTGCAGCAGGCTGCCTTGCTCAGCTTCAGTCTCCACAGATCCCACCTGCTCAGGCTCCTCTGCCCTGGTCACCACAGTCTCAGGGGGCACACAGGGGACCTGTGGGACAGCTACAGACTCCTCCCTGGCAGGAGAGAACAGTGACAGCTACTGCAGCAACAGGTCAGGGCCCCCCAGGCTCCAGCCACCCCTGAGGGCCACCGGGCACAGCAGGACCCTATCAGGGAGCTCAGGGATCCTTGCCCACAGTCATGCTTGATCTGCTGGTACCCAATGCCTGCAGCTGTCCCTGCCCTGCTGGCATCCCACCCCAGTACCAGGCTGGCCCATGCCCTGTTCCCACTCCCTCCCCACCATCCAGTGTTTCATACGTTTGCTCCAGTGTTGTCACGGTCACAAACTCCAGCATCTCCCTCTTGACCTCCTGCTCCCTGGGTTCAGGTGTTCTGGGTTTCGGTGCGATCAGCTCCTCCTCTGAAACCAAGAGCTGGCTCAGCACATAGAGGCAGCAGGACAAGGGAGCACAGCTGCCCAGCTTTACTCCCATCCCTGCTCCCACCACTGGCCACACGCATTCATCCCCTGGGTCTCAGCAGTGGGAAGGTTCTTCCCTCTGCCAGAAGCCTGGGCTGTTAGTGTGGCAGGAGCTGTGGCATCTGTTAGGAGCCAGCCAACCCAAACCTCACAACACTCAAGCACAGAGCCAAGCCTGCTGGGGCCCCCCACCACCAGGTGGGGCTGGGGCCATAGAAAGGACTCACCAAGGCCACCAAGTTCACTCACACATGTCTCTCTGGGGGCATGAGCCGAACCATCCTCACCTGCCACCCAATTAACACCTGCTAAGGAATCCACCAGGGCTGAGCTCATGCTAGAGCCCTGCTGGAAGGAGCCCAGCACCTCCCAATGCAGGGAGAGCCAGAGTGGTGAGCAGCACAGGGACCTTCCAGTGCTCCACTTCATACCACCAAGGCCAGAGTGGCACGGGCTGGCTGTGAGCAGGCTCCAGAGCTTACAACAGGAGCAGGCTCCTGCTGCTGGGAGCAAGGCTGATGACAGCCAGGGCTCCCTCTGCTCGGGGATAGTCCCCTTCATGCAGTCACACCACAGCAAGCAGCATGGACGCAGATGGGCAGGGCAGGATGGCAGGGCCTATGCTGGGTAGCACCAGCCCAGCAGCAAGGTTCAGCAGATGGAGGCGGCGTGCGGATGGTTAGTGGCCATGGGGTGAAATGGGCCATTGAGCTGGGGCACAGGGACAAATTTCATACCCATTACTGTGACATGAGCAGTGCCTGCAAAGTAAGAAGAGGCAAAAGTGAGGTCTTGGTGGGAGGGGGTAGGAGGAAACCAGCTTCAGGTGGGCTGTGGGCTGGTATCACCCGGGGAGCAAGGCATGGTGCGGTGCTCAGAGTGCCCAAGTTCTCTCTGCACACCATCCTCAGGTCTGGGCACCACCCTCCTGCACAGCACAGGGGAAGACCAAGCCAGGAGGTGGCTGCTGGGCTTCTGCTTCCTTGTTGCAAGACCCCAGTGGGGCCAGGCAGCTCCCCACCCTGTGCCCATCCCCGGGGCTGCTAGCAGACCTCTAAGGGCATGACCCAGCTCCAGCCTCTCACCTTCATCCTCTGACACATCCAAAATCTCATCCACAGTCTCTGGGAAGCTCATGCGGTACTTGTCACTGACTGGCTGTGGAGCAGAGGGCAGTCAGAGCAGGACAGCACACAACCCACAGCCACCCACAGCCCCTCTCCACATGCCTGGGCACTCAAGCTGCTCTTTGGCAGCCCACACCCTGATCTGCCTGGGGCCAAGGCTGGCAGACCCTCACTTAGCTGCTCCCAACCCCAACCCTTCTCCACAGGATTCTGCACCCAGCCAGTCCTGTGCCCAGAAGCTTACTGGGATGCTGGTCTCCTCTGTGACAATCTTGAGCACATCTGTGACGGAAATGTAACCGAGGCGCTTTGCGATGGCCAGCGGAGTGGTGCCATTCTGTGCAAGGGGAGAGGATGTAAGGGAACCCAGGCATGTGCCCAAGCATGTCACACAGTGAGGAAATGCAGGCAGTTTGCCCTACTCACCGTGCTGATCTCGTTGGGAGAGGCACCGTGCTTCAGCAGCAGGGTCACCACGTCCGTGTGGCCCTGCTGCGCTGCCTGGTGCAGGGGTGTGTAGCCAAGCTGTAGGGAGAATAGAGACTGTTACATCAGCTTTGGGGAATGCTGCCCCACAAATGCCCCCCAAAGCTTCACACGATGCTTCACATGGGCTGCATCCTGCTTTCTGTGGTTAGTAAAGGGCTGTATAGGATCCATAATGTGCCCCAGGGGCACTACAACAGCTTCCAGCCATGGAAACAGGAGGACTTGGAGCAAGGTATAGGGGTTGTAGTGGCATAAAACCTTTCCCATCAACCTGCACACTGTTCCCCAGGGTCCTTTTAGCACAGAGCATCATTGTACCTTAGTTTTAGCATTGACATCAGCCTGGTGCTGCAGCAGAAACTTCACCAACTTGATGTTCCCATAGTGGCTGGCTACGTGCAGCGGGGTGTAGCCCATCTGAAAGACAAGATCAGGTCTCAGAGTGCTGTCAGCACTGCTCCTGGGCCTTCTGGCTTGGGTATGCTGAACTGCATGGGCCAGCCCCAACAGCTGAAGGATGGGGTATGTAGAGGTAGTTCCCAAGTGTTTTTCACCCCAACTATGGCCAATGCACTACTTTACCCTCGTTGTTGCGTCCACTGTGACTCCGTGTTTCACCAGAACATCAGCAACTGGTACATGTCCCTCTTGGGCCACGAGATGGAGAGGAGTCAGGCCACTCTGTAAAAAGAGCATGTCACATGCACAGGAGAAGTACTGCAGCTCGACCAGCAGAGAGAGCAAGTTGGGTTGTAAATACAGCAAACTGCCCAACGTTGTTATAGCCAAGGCAGTGCTATTTGAATGCAGGGAGGCACTGGATCTGCTACTGCCTGCCAGCCTGGCAGGAAGCACTAGCACAACATACCTTGTTGCCTAAGTTTCCATTGGCTTGCTTGGAGAAAAGCAGTGCTACCATGTCTGTATGCCCCTCCTGAGAAGCCAGGTGCAGAGGGGTGACTCCCTGAACAGACTCCGCATTTGCAGAAGCACCATACTGCAGCAAGCTGCTGGCCACCTCCATCTGGTTCTGCTTGGCAGCAATGTGCAGAGGGGTGTATCCGTTCTGTGGGAAGGGACCATGGCAGCTCTCAGCACCCACTGAGCAGATCTGCCTGGGCAGGAAGTACCACCCCATCTCTCCAGGCCAAGTCTGCCCTGCCAGGCTGATTCCAGGTCTCAGAGACACAAGCTCACACTCAAACCATCTCCCTGACAGCAACTAATCCTACCACTGAAGCCAATCCTGCCTCCCTAATCAAGACAGTGAGGAGGCTCCAAGACCACCTGCTTCAGGTCTGGTTAGTGCCAGCTGTCCTGGGGTTTTCTTTACATGAGTTTCTAGCATGCGGCCACTTGGGGCTGCAAGAGTCAGGACAGGCAGGCACTACTAGGACTGCCTGGTAGAGGTGTGGGGCAGAACCCACAACATACAGGATTAGTATTCAGGCAGAGGCTGCATGGCCTTGAGCACTGCTTGTGCTGTCATTTGCCAGCAGAGAAGCAGACGCCCTGTGCCTGTGATGACGCAGGCTGCCGTGACGCAGACCAAGGGGAGATCGGCACCAGCACCAGCTGCTCTGCTGCCAGCCCAGCAGCCCTGCCAGCAGATGCACGGGGGAAGAGGGGAGGTAGCACCAGCAGCCACTTGTCTGCCGAGATGCTGCAGCTTCTGCAAACAATGTGAAAACCAATTCTGCTGGGCTGATCCATGAGGAAAGGCTCCTCGTGCTCTGCCAGAGCTCAGGATGCTCACAAGCTGCTGGATTTTCTGCCTTCACAGCTTCCCAGCTGCATGGAAACATTCATGTGTGGTTTCCCAAACTGCCAGACCGCAGCACTGCTCAGCAGGGCTTGCTATGGAAACACATCCCCAAGCAACAGCCACTAGGCTGCCAACAGGAAATATCCCTTAAAGCTATTCTGCTGGAACCGGGTGAGTGCTCAGCATCCCCATGGGCACAAGGACATGCCAGCACAAGCAGCAGGTGTGGGAGCTATGGTGGGACTGGCAGGTGTCAGAGTTGAGGGGTGACACAGCACGGGGCACTGTCAGCCTTGGCTGGAGGGTACTGGGCACACACCATCCTCCCACCCCAGGGATCCCATCCAGCCTTACCCAGGCTGAGCTGTGTGGAGAGCTCCCCTTGGGAAGCAGGAGCTTGACGATCTCCAGGTTGTTGTGGTACACAGCTACGTGCAGTGGGGTCAGGCCGTTCTAGAGAAGGGAAGAGGGCACGGAGCAGTGAGATAGAGTCTCAGCCCATACTCACCTCTCTCACAGCCCTAGAACAACCCTCACCTTCCCCGCTGCATTGGGGTGAGCATCATGCACCAGCAGCAGCTCTGCCACATCCACCTTCCCATACTTGGCTGCAACGTGGAGAGGGGTAAATCCTTTCTGAGGAGATAGGCAGCCCATCACTGGGTGTAAGGGGATGATGAGGAGAATGCAGATGCACACTGCAGCACAGGAGGCTGTCCCTTCTGGGATGGGGACACTGTTCTGCCAGCCCTGCCAGCCATCTTTCCGCAGCATGCCAGCAGCCTACCTTGGTCATGCAAGTCTGAGAGGCTCCCTTTTCTAGCAGGGCCAAGGCTGTGTCTACATGCCCCTCTCTGGCAGTGATGTGCAGAGGTGTGTGCCCTGCTGTGGTGGCCAGGTTGGGGTTGGCACTGTTCTCCAGCAGAAGTCGGACCATACTGGTGTGGCCAATGCGTGTAGCACAGTGCAGAGGAGTCTGGTCATCCTGTAAGGGAGGCAGAGAAGCTGTTGCTCGCTGGCTTGGACTCGCTGCTTCCTTGCAGCACTCCTGCTGCTTCACAACCCCTCACCATAGGGGCCTGGACAGGTGAGAGCAAAGAACTCAGCACTGGGTGAGCACATGGGAGCTCCTGCCTACCTTGGCCTTGGCGTTGACTTTGGCTTTGTTCTGCAGCAGATACTTGGCCACATCCATGTGCCCAGCTCTGGCTGCCATGTGCAGGGGAGTCTCCACTTTCTGCACCATGGACAGAATAAAGCGGTGAGGCCACACGAGGGGACATGTCACCCATTGCCCAGGAACAAAGAAAGCAGGGTGCAGCTCCACTACACCCCACCACAGTGAGCCCCGATGGCTCCAGCCAGGCCAGCACTCACCACATTGGACACATTAGGAGATGCTCCACGCTGCAGCAGGGTTTTGACGATGGGCAAATGCCCCATGAAGGCAGCCACATGCAAGGGGGTCAAGCCAGACTGTGGAGAGAAAGCAGCAAAGAGTCATGTTGAATGGCCTGACACAGAGGCAGTCCCCCCATTCTCTCAGCCTCTGGGAGCCCCTAGCTGAGCCGACAGCAATGCACAGAACTTCTGCCCTGCAAGAAACAGGCAGCATGCCACCCGCACAGTGGATCTTGAGCTGCAGTTCTCCCCAGCCACAAGGAAGAAGATGCTGGTGGCAGCAGGGCAGCAGTGACCCAGCCCTGCTGTGCATGGGCAATAACAGAAGAGCTAGGGCTGGGCTGCAGCTCACCCACCTCTGTGACAGCATCAATGGAGGCTCCTGTCTTCAGAAGCAATTCCATCACCCGAATGTGGTTCTTCTTGCAGGCGATGTGGAGAGGCGTGAAGCCATTCTACAGACAGAATGGCCATCAGTCAATTGCAAGCGCATTCCCTCTTCCGCTCCCAGCCCATTTATCCTTTTCTTGCCCACCCCTCCTGGCTCACCAGGGCTCTGGAGTTGGGCTTGGCTCCCTTCTCCACCAGCAGTTTAGCCACACGGTGGTGGCCACAGTGCGCGGCTACATGCAGTGGTGTCAGGTGGTCCAGGGTGATGTCGTCTATCTCAGCACTGTACTGCAGGAGTAGGCGCACACAGTCCAGGTGATCACCCTGTGCTGCCATGTGGATCGGTGACAGACCGTTCTGTGAGCGGGGAGCGGAGCCTTAGGGCTGAGTGGAGGGCACTGGGCATCCCACCCAGCCCTGCTCCCTGCCATAGCTTTGAGCAGAAGGATCAGGAAGCTCTTTGCCTCTTGAGGGCCAAAAGTTCGACCCTGGCCCAGCTACAGAGAGCATCCAGCAAACGCATGCAGTTTGTGACCCCTGCGCTGACACTGAGCACAGTCCCACAGGCACCTTTGTTTTGGCTTGAATGGGAGCACCATGGTCCAGTAGGATCTCTGCAATTCGCACATGTCCATTGCGAGCTGCACAGTGGAGAGGCGTCAACTCATCCTGGGGAGAGAGAAGGGTTCAGAGGCTCAGCAAGGACAGGGAAAGGCAAGGCACTCCAGACCAGAAAGGAACAGAAACTTGGGACTTGTTTGCAAAATAAGATCAAAACTGATTCTGCTCTCAGCCCCTAGGCTCAGCCCATCACCCATGCAGCTTTCTCTCAACCTGAACACACATCACTAAAAAACCCGGTCCACCCCCTTAGGACATCAGGGACTGTGCTCATGCCCTAGCATGACATTCCCAGGGTATGGACTGAGGAGGGCACTGCATCAGTGCCCCCTGGACACAGGAAGAATGGAGACAGAGATGGCCCGTGCAGTTGCCAGAGGTTTAGAAAGGGTCTCACCTTGGTCCTTGTCTCTATCTGGGCCCCACGGTCCAGCAGCAGCCGCACCATGATGATGTTGCCTCGTCGGGAGGCTATGTGCAAAGGAGTGATCCCATTCTGGCAGAAGGAAGGACAGCTTGTTACAGGAAGCAACCCCTCCTCTTTTCCCTGCAGGGCTGCCAGGAAGCACGGGGCAAACAAGGGATAGAGGGCAGTGGAAGGCTAAATTCCTTCGCAAGGATGGACAGGTGAGAGGCAAGCACATGCCCACCCGTGGCTGAAAGCTGTGGATGCCATAGCAGCCACCCCACATGGCACTCACCTGGGGTGTGAAGTTGACACTGGCTCCACGATTCAGCAAGAGTTGGGCCACACTGAGATTCTCATAGTGGGCTGCAATGTGCAAGGGCGTAAATCCAGTCTAGGGGAAAGAAGGGGGATCAGCCCAGCCAGATACATGCTCCCTGCCGAAAGGATGGATATATACAGCATACCAAGCTGCTGTTCCCCCTGGGAGGTGGGAAAGCTGGCAGGGACAGGGTGGGAGAGCCACGCACCTTGGAGAGGACGTCAGCATTGGGGTCATTCTGCAGCAGCACGGCGGCTGTGCGGGTGTCATCGTTGCGAGCTGCAATGTGCAAGGCAGGCAGGCGGACCTTACCCTTTGTCCCATAGTTGATAAGGTGAGCAACCACATTCTCATGACCCTGCTGCAGAGCCACAGCTAGCGGTGTAAAGCCATCCTGCCAAGGAGACACAGGTGAGTGGGGAGAGCCAAGAAGCCACGGCAGCACGTGGCGCAGCCTCAACTAGTAGAGCTGCAGAGTTCTCCCCAAGGACCGTACCTCTGTGGCTACGTTCTGGTTGGCTCCATTTTCCAGCAGGAACTTGACAACTTCCAGGTGGTTTTCCTGCGCTGCCATGTAGAGTGGTGTGAATCCCTTCTGCAAACAGAGCCATACACATCAACACAACCCTTCCTCCAGCTCCTTGAAGAGCTGCACCCCACCAAGCTTACAAGTAGGAGGGGGACTGACTTTTTACACAGTCTGACAGTGGTAGGACAGGAGAAATGTCTTTAAACTAAAAGAAGGGAAATTTAGGTTAGATGCTAGGAAGAATTTTTTTTGCTCAGAGAATGGTGAGGCAATGGAACAGATTTCCTAGAGAGGCTGTGGATACCTCACTTCTGGATGCATTCAAGGTCAGGTTGGATGGGATGCTGAGTAGCCTGATCTAGTGCTCTGCAACCCTGTCCATGGCAGGGGGGTTGGAATTAGATGATCTTCAAGGTCCCCTGCAACCTAAGCCATTCTATGAACACCCACACCCCCGGTTCACTGTCAGGGAGCATCTTTCATGAGCTCTTCCAGGAAGAGTTCAGTGTGCTTGTGTGTGCTGCCATGGACTCCCACCAGACACAGACCATCTGCTCACCATCTCCACAGACCAGACACTCACCATCTCCACCCCCAAACTTCTTTCCCCATCACTCACAGACTTGTGGTCCTTCAGAGATCGGGCAAAGCCACCCTTGTCCCTGAACAGGACCAAAGAGACACTAAAGGGCTACTGCAGAGCCCTTGCTGGGCACAGCTCTCACCACATGGACATCACCACACACATGCTGGAGCTCTGCCCACCCCAGCCTGGATGACTGTACCTGAGACTGAGCATTGACATTGGCCCCATAGTTCACCAGTTCCCGGACCACGTCCTGCTGTCCAGCGAGGGCAGCGATGTGCAGGGCTGTGTTTCCCTTCTGAAAGACAACATCACAGGGCAGCACTCAGGGAAAAAGACAGGCCAGATGTGCGTACTAACATAGGTGTGAAAAGGGCTGCTGCCATCCCAGCCAGTGCAAGGCGGTGGGGCCATGCTCTGCACCCCATTCCTGCTACAGACACATTTGCTGGCTAAGGAAGAGGGTGACTTCATATTTCTTATGAGGTCACCGGCAGCCAAAGTTGTGCGCATTGTCAGGCTCTGCATATCTCCAGCACCAGGAGGCGAGCAGGGGAAGGGAGAAGGGAGCGCTGAGCTGACAGACCTCAGGCAAAAGCACAGAGCATGGGAGCCAAGGCTTCCCAGTGGAGCTCAGGGAGGAGCAGACTGAAAGACACAGACTTCTCCCTCCAGTGTGCACCCTGGGGTGGTGAGGGCAGGACACCAGGCTCTGCTCTGCATCCCAAGCCTTGCTAGGGCACAGAGGTGACATGCCAGCCACTGCAGCTTCCACAGCCTTCCACACACTACCAGAGGCTGCTGGTTGTCCAGTCCTGCTGGCTCATGCCTTTGTCACAGAGAGAGAGAGCCACACCTCTCCATGATGATGCAGGGAGAGAACTATGCATTATTTATGGAGCACCAGCAATGGCAGGCTGTAGAGCAACGACTGAGGAATGTGACCAGACTCCTTTGTTCTCACCTTGGTCGTGGTCTCCAAAACAATCTCCTTGTGCAGAAGCTCCACCACCATTTTCGCGTGGCCTTCCTTGGAGGCCAGGTGCAAGGCGTTCAGCCCATTCTGCAGGGCACAAAGAGGGGGCATTAATCACAGGATGAGACTGATGATCTCTGGGAACCACCCTGGAGCTCCTCTACGGACGTGGCTGCGGGTGCTTGCTGTGTACTGAAGGAGGTGCTGGCTGCCAGGAGCAGAAGTCACTGTTCTGCCTTTGAGCCCTGAGCAGTTGGCTTCACGCTGCATGCAGCCCTGTGCACTGAGCTGCTGACTAATGCTGGAGGTTTCCCTGTGACATGCAGCCCTCGTGGACTAGTTCCTATAGATGGGTGTCACCATGGCACAGTGGGTGTGCATGGCTTCACAGGCACTGTTTGAGCTCTCCTTGCTCATGACACATTCCTGTTGTCAGCTCCCATCACCGCTCCAGTGACTTCCCAGGGCTCCCTCAGATCTCCTGCCCACAGCCACACCTGGCACAGCCAAAGCCCTCTGGATGGCCCAGAGTGAGGATGCACACGCTGTGTAAGTGTGGCCTTGCAGGCTGACCCTGCCAATTCCATCCCACAGCCCATGCTCAGCACCGGGGCTGCTTTGCTCCTCCAGTACTGAGCTGCAGCAGAGACTCTGGGGAAGCATTGGTTGTGCAGCTGCTCAGCTCTGTCAGATCCAGGAAGCTCTTGAACAGTTCAGGTGACTGCTTGGGAACACTGCTTCGGGTGCCCCAGTTCAGCCCTCCTTTTCCAAGCTACATATGAAACCACAGTCCCAGGAGCAAAGGACTGAAGAGCACCCTTGGAATATCCTTGTGCTGTCAAAAGTGGGGGGGTTAGGCCTGCCAGCACCCCAGAGGCAGTTGAGAAAGCTTATGTTCCATTATTTCCAACTTCCCAGATGTGAACAAAAGGGCTGAGATATTTACTGGCAGAGAGGTTAAATATTTGCAGGCAATTTCAAATGGCACTTTTTTTTTTTCCCTCCACAAGGGAAAAGTGCCGCACTTCTCCCAGATGGATGCACTGTGCTTACTCACCCCTGTGCAGCTCTCATGTGGCAAAGAGCTGCCAGCTCCCCAGAAGCACACAATGCTGCCCAAGCACTCCACCCCCCAGCCATCTGCTTTGGCTTATGGAGGGTGCTGGAAGGTCACTTTGCAGGATTGCTTCATCCCCATCTGAATACAGGTAGGGGAGCAGAACATGCCAGGGCAAGCTCCAGTTGCAGCCTTCAACATCCCAGTTAAACTCACAACAGCTTCCAGAGGGGGTTTCTCATAGCACAAAAAGCTCTTCCACTTCTCTCTTGCTCAATCCAGCAGCCTTCCAAGATCACAGACTCTTTTCTACCTCTCATGTATGCACAGATAGCAAGTCTACAGGCTATCTCAGCACACCAGCTCCAGCATCTCCTGGAGCTCCAAGCACAAGGGGATGGCTGCCAAGGGAAAAAGAAGCAAGAATGCTGCAGCTCTTGGACCAGGGCACAGCTGCACGGCTCTGCACCCACATCTTGAGAGCTCACCAGCTGGGTGAGAGCCACAGATACAGCACATGCTTTTTCCCTGTTATACCCATGTAACAAGATGCAGGGAGGACAAAATCATGAATACTCAGCTGCTACCCTCGCACATATGTCCTCTTACGCAAAGGATTCATAAATAACCTTTTGAAAGCTGAAAGCCATTGAGGAATCGTTATTCTCCATCCTTACAGCGATAAGCACAATGTTTACTGAAGGCTGTTTCCCAGAGGCCCATCGATATTTCTGCCTCAGGAACAATGCAGGTTGTTTTGCAGGTTTGCTCTGGTTTGACGGCTCTTCTGACCCAAAACCGCCATGGGATGCACTTGATCTGAGCAGTGCTGCACTCCCTCACCAACTGCAAATGCTTCCCAGAAGCCTTGGGCGCTGCTGCCAATGCAAGAAACTCAGCTCTGCAGAAAAATGCTCCTTCGTGTTGCTGCACCCTGAGTGGACCCTGCCCTGGGTTGTGACCCAGAAAAGATTCCTGCCCACACAACCATGACTGCTGGGTTCTGGCAGCCAGCTCAGCTCTGCTTCTCCTCAGCTCCAACTCCTCATTGGTGAGGACAGCACGCATGGATTCAGAACACAATAAGGATACTGATGCAGATGGCAACCATGAAGAAGATGGCAGGATGAAGATCAGATGGCATGTCAAGGTCTCTGCACTTGTGTAAGAATACAGGGCCTGTGGGATAGGTCTGACCACATATATCCCTCCTTATTCTATACAGGACATGTGAGGTTGGACCTTTCCCACAGGTCTGATATTCCTCAGAAGGAAACCCTAAAGTGCCATCTAACCTCGGGGAGATGGCAGGAACCAGTGCAAAGGCACCACTGAAAGGAGCACCTCATTCTGCTGCAGCCACGTGCTCCCCAGCAGGATGTTAAACCCCCTCATTGGCTGCAGGAATCTGGCTGGAAGCAGGACTGCTCCCAGCAAAGGGGGATTGCCCCTTGTGGGGAAGAAATTGAAAACTATTTCATCTTCAGTGGACTGAAACACAACGTTTTCTATTTCTTCTCCCCACAACACCCCTCTGGTTTCAATCCTGTCCTTGCCCACACAACCCCAGGACAGGAACACCTGGATGCTGGTTATGTGCTGACAATAATTGGGAATGAGGAATAAAATGGGCACCTCATGAGCTTTCCCCAAGCCTCCTCTAGCATCCTAGGGAGGAGAAAACAAGGTGCAACATGCCCCAGCTGCCAGCAGAAATCCAGCATATCTGCACAGCACTGTCAGTCAGAAAAGAAAAGGAGACAGCAACATTTCCTGGGGGAAAATGTCTGCAGCAATGCACCGGCCACTGCAGTGCATAGATTGATGGGTCTGAACCACGCTTGGTTTGGAAACTTGATACTGAACCAGAGGAACATCCGCTTGTGCTACCTGCCAAGTCAGCCTCCCCAGCATCACTGATGCTCTGGAAAGCAGCTGACAGTGCCGTCTGCCTGTCTGTCCCCCAGCTCAGCCCAAGTCCCTTGTGTCCCTCCCTGCAGCACCTACTCTGATTCAGGCTGAGTCGATGCATTTGGCAGCTGCACAGGTAACAAAATGTTCTGTCAGTTATGTGCAAACCATTCCTCTGTGCCTGCAGCTTTCCTTTCCAGGGGCAGAGCTGTCCCTGCTCTGTGTTAGAAGGGGCTCCACCTGAACAGCACCTCCTGAGGCACCACACTGGCGTTCTGCAAACATCCCCTGTTTTTAAACACTTCCCACCATTTTTAAATTTGCTCTGCCCACTTATGGTCTGCTCTGTACCAGGATCAAGGCTAAGCAAGCTCCCTGGGGCCTTTCTCTGTCCCTCTCCCACGGAGCAGAATAAGGAAGAGACAGAGTGACTGTCACCTCAGCCTTGGGGAGCCACAGCATGGCAATTTTCACATAAGCTAGCGGTGATACCAGAAACCTCGTGGGTTTCACCTACCTGATTACAGGTGTTAATATCTACCCCATTCCTGAGATGATCCAAGGCTTTGTCCAGATTCCCAGATCTTGCAGCTCTCAGAAAACTGGTCGCAGCATCAGCCTTGGGGAAAAAAACAAACAGCATGAGGTTTGGCATCATACTTCGTGCTCTCCCGTCAGCAATATGGGATCATCCCAGAGCTTGGCTACAGAGACCCAGTGGGAAAGAGGCCAGGCAGGCAGGGATGGTCCTCATCAAACAGGACAAGGCAGGGCTGGGAGTGAGGCTTAAGGGAAGAAAAGCCTTTGGCCAGGCCAGGGAGGAGAGATGTATGGATCTGAGCAGTGCTGGTAGGGCTGGGAAGGTGCTCTGACAGGATTGCTGCAGCCTTTCTAGGCACAGGAAATGCTTTCTGTCCTGGCTGAGAGATCAGCAATGGACAATATACTGCAGAGTTGGTTGTGCCTGCCTCTGCTGTCCTCCAGAAACCAGTACAGGAGTCACAGTGACAGTGGCGACAACCCCAACTGTGCACATTGCAGCCAGGAAAGTCACAGCAAGGCAGTGCCACCACCCCAGGCAAGGCACAGCAATAATTTGTATAACACTATTAAGGCAGCAAATGAAGATAATGGGATGGCTCACCAGAAGCTGGAGAACAAGGTGGAAATGCAGTGAGAGCTCTGTATGGCTGTACCTATGAACTGGTGCCTGCCTGGTAGGTCTTGCCCAAAGGGCTGTCCACAGCACAGAGCCATGAGACATCCATGGCAAAGCAGCAGGACACACTCCTCTGTCCTTGGCTCCACTAGAAAATCAGAGCCCCTTTCTTACCACTTACACTGGGATTGTCCAAGAGACCTCCTGTGCTATGTGAGCATACATCCTGCCAGCCTCAGCCCTCCAGTTCCCACAGCCCTGGGGTCATCAAGCTCGTGGGGCCAGCACTGAAAGCAACAGAGCCTTGGCAGCAGACCCAGGCAGAATGGTGCAGGTGAAGTGTTCAGAGCTCCTGTCTTACCAGCCTCGGTCATTTCAGCTCAGAGATGGAAGCAGCACTGCTCAGCTGCCTCCTGCTTTCCTCCATCCTTCCCTCATCCTCCTACCCAGAGAAACACAGCCCAGCACAGGGCCCACTCTCCTGCTACCCCTGCAGAAAGAAGGCCTGCAGATGGGTGTCCCAGACCCCAGCAGTGCAAGTGCTGCAGCTCTGCCCAGGACAGAGGGATGGGCAGTGGAGGGCAGCATCGCCATGCCCCGTGCTGGCGCAGTCTCTGCACGCAGGGAAACACGTGCAGCTGGCATGCCCTGCTCTGCCAGCTGGCACCACAAGCTGCTGCTTCGCAGCACAACCCGGTCTGCCTGGGAGGAGCCCCCACATTTGAAGCTAGGCTGCCAGCTTCACGGAGGGCTGCAGGTGTGTTGGAGAGTCCACACGATGCCTGGGTGCACTCTGCTCATTCAGGCTGATTTGCTGGGAAAGGCTGAGCACGGTGCTGGTGCTGCCCTTAGAAGTGCACATTTGCACTCAGAGCCCTGCATGCTGTCTAGGGTGAGCAGGAAACGCTGATAGCTCCAAGAAATGGTTAAGTGCAAAGGGCTTTTCTAACTCCAGCTCTTGCTGGAAACTTCTGCATCTCAGGTCGAGCCCTCAGCTACGCTGCAGGCATGGCAGCTTCAGCACAGACCTACAACAGCAACCCCCTTGGAAGTTCAAAGCACAGCTCAGCCAGACCTGGGATCCCACCCACAGGACACGCATGGAGCTGCAAAGATTAATATGGTAAAACTTGACATGCTGCAGCAGCGAAGCACTTCCAAAACCTTGGTACACCCAGCAGCAGAGACCACAGGCAAGAAGCAAGCAGAGAAGCAAAGCAGAGGTCTCTTTGGGCATGAAGGAGAAGCGCATTGTATACTCACAGCCACGTCTGGACCAGACTTGCCCTTTCGTGCTGCCATAGTCCAGCACTTCAGCTGAAACCTGAGCCCGGTGTCCCCTCTTCCCCTCCTTGGTTATCTACTCCCCAGCTTTAAGAGAGCCAGTAAGTTGCATTGCATTCTCTCTAAAAATACCAACTCCCTCCTCGCCCCAACGCAGAACCTGCAGGGATCGCCAGCCACTAATGGAATTTGTTCATTTTCTTTCCATTACTGTGTCAGACAGGATATTTAATAGCAAGATGCCTGTGGAAAGCAGATGCTTGCTGCCAAGCACAGAGAACAGTCAGAGCTGCAGGGACTACCTCAAGAAGAGCAGAGAGGAGCAGCCCCACAGACATGCTGAGGAGCATCTTGCAGGTAACACTACCCTGGAGGAGAGGGGTGGAGGGCCCTTGCACATGGCTGAGGCGTGGATGCTGCAGAACGACTGCCCTTCTGCTTCCCAGAACCAGGGTGATGGGTGCCGGGTGCCGGCAGCCATGGGATGGAGACACAGCTCAGACAGCAAAAGCAGACGACAGATATCTGCAGTCATATTCTCCTCTTAAAGTCCCTGCGTACACTGGGACTGCCTACCTGGCATTTGGTCGTACTCTTTCACAACAGCTGATTACTCTGGGGTGTCACAGGCAGCCTGACAGCATGAGATTAGCCAAGGAACTAAAGCATAGATTGGGTCAATGCCATCTCCTTTTTCAACAAAAGGGAACAGCAAGAAATGCAGAGACTCCATGGGCGTAAGTACGTATGCATATCAAAAAGATGCATGCACATCCCAGGCAGCACAACACAAATGCTCCTTAAGGCAGGCACACACATTGCACACTCGCCATCCACAGCTAAGCACAAAGTGCAGCACAGACACACTGCGTGCACTCGCTTGGCATTTGTGCTCATACTGCTGCCTGCACCCACAGTTGTTTGCTATCCGCCTGCCCCAGGATATACAGCAGTTGCTTCCAGATGAAAAAGAATGCCCCCAGTGGTTTTACTTTCCTTTTTTTAATTTTTTTTTGGCAGCTTGGAGTGTTTCTCTCCATTTTCCCTCTCTTTCCCAGCCATTTTTCAGGAAGGAGTTATTCCAAGCTGAGGAGGTAAACTTGCTTATTTGTGTACCTCTCACACAGCTAAGCCCCACGTATAGGCGTCGTGTTCCATAGACTTGGGGATCTTCAAGCTGTGAAGTGACAGGATGCAGCTTCCAGCACTTCCCAGATCTGGACTTTGCAAAATGCTCCAAGACCTTCTAAAGTGAAAAGCACAGCTCAGTGCAGCTGTGCCTCTCCTTCAGTTTCTCTTCTTTCAGGCAACAGTCAAATTATTTCTCTTTTCCAGCCTTGATGGGAGACTTTCTCAGTCCTTATTCACAGGGTATCACCACAGCCTGATGACTGCTCCTTCACCCCAGCAGAAGCCTGGGTCTGACCAAGCTCCTTGCACTGTAGCTGTGGGCTAAGGCAATATGCAAAGGGGATGTTTTGCCAAGCCAGAGGTTCAGGCTGGATTTCGCTAATCTTGCTCTATTTGTCTCCTGCACACGGTCAAAGTCTTCTCTAATCTTTTCTGGCAGTGCCATCACTCTTACTCCCACCTAGGGAGGAGCTCCTTCTGCAAATTATTGATAAAGGAAAGAAGGGTCTCAACATTGCTTCTTTCTATGGACAGGGGCCATGTTCATCAGGAACACCCTGTGTAGAGGCTGTTAAATGTAGCATGTTGATGATTCCCAAGAGCAAATGAGTTCAGAGGCTCACGCTGCTTTCATGGTGGTTTCTGGGCCACGAGGAAGGAAGCAAATTGTCCTGCTGTTTCAGACTGGCAAAAGGCACATATGCATGCTGCTACACTGCTCCATGTGTGCACCATGCCTGGGCCTTGATCAATTTGCTTTTTTCCAGGCCAAGCTACTGAAAATCATTGCCACTGAGGAGGCTCAGACAGCAAGCTTTGCTACAAGAAAAGCTTCCTGTGTGTGCTCTGTAGCAGAGGTCTTCAAAGCAACTACACCACTGCACAGGTTTCTATCTCATGAGTTTATCACTAAACATAACTGCATCTTCAAACTTTTGCCACTGCTGTATTCTTTGGAAGCCACGTTCTCCTGCCAGCAACTCCTGCCCTGCACACTTAGTGGCATTTGCAGCTCCACTGCTCTAATGCTCCTGAAACCCCACCTCTGGAGCAATACGTGCCACTTTTTCCCTGGTGTGCATTAGGAGTGAAGCCAGTGGAGGCATCTTGAAAACCAGGATGAGCAAGCAGTTTGTGAACAGCAGAGAAATAGTAACAGAAGAGCCAGATGCTGCTGCTAAGGACAAGGCCTTACCTGGGGATCCCCCATGGGGGCTTTTGACCCTGCTAAGCAGATGCACTCCCCCCCGCCTGGTCTCAGGCTGCCAAGTGCTCATGGAGGTCCAGCAAGGACAGACAAATTGTGTAAGGTAGCACACACTGCTCCAGCAATGCACAGAGCCCCAGCAGCAACAGGGAGATGCAAGCCTGACTCCTGCACTGTGGCCATGTGTTACAGAGGGCATCCTATCCAGACAGTGCATAAAAGGTCCAGACCACATCCCAGGAGATGACCCAGTCACTGTCAGCTGTTAGTACCAGGGCACTGTCAGCACTGCCAGCTGGGAAGGAAGTACAACAACCCTTGCAATAGCCTTTAGTTTGCTTTGACATTTCTTTGCTCTTGTGGGCATATGTCCAGCAGCAGGCATGGTCCTCAACTTTGAGGTATTGTTTCCAACAGAGAGAACAATGTAGTGCCTTACTTTAAGCAGTTCTCAGCCTAAGGACTTTTTTCAGGCCAGGGCTCTCCATGTTCTCCCTACCCTGCGGACATCAAATGCCCAGGTCAGCGGGTGCTAATGGTGATCCTTTCTCCTCAGATGAGAAGAATATGTCAGTTCTGGAAATAAACTAAAGGCAGATACTAAGATTAAGTGCATTTAGAGATGGCCCCTGGGGTCTCTCTAAAAAGATAAGGGAAGTTGAATTGGATTCAACTTGGAATGCCCAGAAACAGAAACCACACCATCTGATCAGCAGGAACTTTCTCCTCTATCTACATTCACAGAAGCTTGACACGGGTGGTCCCTGCAGTGGAAACAAAACCTACCAGCAAGTTTCAGCCTTCCTGGTGGAAGAAAGCATTTAATAGTGCACAGCATCTCCAGAGAGGCCACAGGAGCGAAGCCTCAGGCAGGCAGCCAGAGCAGCACAGAGAAGAGACTGCCAGGCACATACTGCAAACTCAGATGAAAGAGAAAAGCAAGAACACTGGGAAAAGCTCATCAGATGAAAGGATAAATCCATATATCCAAATTCTACCCTCCCACCATCTTCACTCCTGCGCACGCGATTTAGGAGAGGTCTGCAGATCTTAGTAGAACTTAAAGCATTAAGAGGTCATCTCTGGAAACCATTTGCTAAGTGATTTTGCTCTCCTTTCATGCATCACCTTGAGCAAAACCTTTGTCCATGCTCATTGTTGCTGAGTGGAGATTTCACAATACCCCAGGCCTCCCCAAGGCACAGAACACCAGAGGCCATGGCTGATAGTGCTGATAGCAGCAGTGATCCCCAGTCATGAGAATGCAGGGGTGCACATGGCGCTATGATCTGGCGGCAAGAGAATCAAATAATGCAGAAATGAAAGATCTGCACAAGTTCCTGCATCAAGGGGCTGTTAATGCTGGAAGAGAATTTGGCACAAGTGGCAGAGCAGAAATCCCAAAGTAAAGGAGGAGGGTCCCCGTCGGGTTTCTGAGAAGGGAGGCAACTCTTCAATTAGTTTTTGAGCTTTGAAGTTAGTAAAGTGGGGGCACATTTTCAGGTGCAGTCGCAGTCATCGGGCCCCTCTGTCAGGCACAGTCCTCCATCCTTACAGTATCACAACTAATTAGCATTTGGAAAGCCTGTTTTTATGCACTCTGAATGGGACAGGGTTGTTCTGGACTGTCACTGGTGGTGTAGTTCAGGGCCAAATTAACTCTGTCCCTGCTGAGCACGTTCAGATGTAGACAACTGGTCCCTTTCCTCCCACCTCACATCCCCTTTGCTAGATGCTGAAGCTGGAAGGGGGTTCAGGACTGTGTGAGGAGACGGATCTCTCCTTAATCTGCAATGAGCAAGTACTAGGGAGCTGCCCCTGCATAGTGAACTGATCCTTCCTGATAAGGATCCCCTGGTTCTATGAAAGTCTGCCTGCCTGTCATTTCCCAGATAGTATTAATGGAGTTTCTAAGCAGTAACATCAAGACCTTTTCTGAAATTTGCAAACCACCACTTGTCAGTGAAGTCCAGTGCTGAGTCCAACTGCAGGGACTGAACAGAGGAATAGGGAGCTGAAGACCAGGACATTGTTCCTCTGCACAGAGCCAAAGCAAAGCAAGAATTAGCACAGCGAAGGCTCCTGCCAGCTGGGGCAAGGCGCATCCAGGGGAAAGCTGTCACACTCCTTTGATGTTAGCAGGAGCCTCTGCTCTCTGCACAGCCTGAAAAAGAAAAGCTATTTTTACCTCGTCAGAAAACACACAGACTGTGACTGAAGACAATACACCGGTGCTTGTCACTCAGGAGCTACACCTCTTCTTACAGCACAATAGGATTTACAGCTGTGAGAGATGCAGCAGCACTGTGACTGCTTTGTATCTCCTGCTTTCCTACTGCACTGCCTTCCCCAGCCGTGCCATGGCTCAGGCAATACGTGCAACAGACAACATCAGTACAAGGGAAGACAGGGACATGCTTTGAGGGACTGAGGCACATCCTGCAAACCAGCTTCCAGCCTGCCCCAGGCTCTGTGCAGTGCCATTGCACGCAGCAGAAGCCAGAACGTGCCACCAAGGTCTGACTCAGTGCCTTATGGAAAAAAATTCTCTCTCTTTGCCAGTGTTTTGAATCAACTGTTCCTAATGTCTGCAATCTCTTCTGGCTGATCTTTTCTACCTCTGCTTCAGCAGGGCCAGCCCACACCTGCTTCCATGAGCAAAAGTGCTGAGGATGAGGCTTCCTGCTAGGATGGAGAGGCTGTGAAGGATCGCAGCACATGTGCATGGTTGCAGATTCACTGCTAGCAGTGTGCAGCCAGGCTGCCTGAGCTCAGTGTAGCCTCCAGAAGCCATGCAGGGAAGAAAGCATTGACAGGAAAGTACCTGAAGCACAGCCTGGAAATAGATTGTTGCCAACTTATCCCCGGTGAGGACATGCAAGCAAAAGCTGTGGCAGCACAGCCACCTGCTCCTCAGCAGAGCTAATAGAGCACTATGCCTAGAGAGAAACGTCATCCTGTGCACCTGTCCCAGAGCTTCGTGTGGGTGAAATAAGGAAGGTGATAGCACAGAAATCAACGTGTACCACTGAGAGGAAAACAAAGAAAAAAACCCCTAACAGCCCTCACTTGAGGGCACCCCCATCTCTCAACAAAAGCAGCAGCAAGAAAGACAAGGTGAGCACAATACCAGGGGGACTTAGGAATTCTGGATTGAATGCCAGACTCCATTGCTGAATCCCAGCATGACCTTAGGCAAGCTTCCAGCAGCCTAAGAAGGGCAGCAAACCCCTTCTACCATTCCAGGGCCCATTTAGGCTACCATACTTTGGGGACAAGGGCCTATGTTGTCTGGGGCAGACATAAAACTATTTAAGTGGCCTGGATGCACCTAAACTCCTGAATGTAAAAAAAAAAAAACAACAACCAAAAGCCCCCAAAATAAAATAATAATAATAATAACAACAAAATAAACAAACACCACAAAACCAAAGCAAATAAAAACACCCCTCTTCGAACAGACCTGATTCCTCTCCCCCTAGTGCAGCCCAGCAAGCCCCTGACCATGGCAGAGACTTGCCCAAGTACTCACCCTCAAGTAATGCAAACATGGCATTGCTGCAGGAGAGTCAGCTCACCCTGGGCAGCCAGGGTCTGCAGGTCTGATCAGCTCACTGATGCTGAATGCTGCAGCCAAATAAACTGTGTGAGCAGCCAGACTGGAAGCGTTATCAGCAGGACTGAACCCTATCATCTCCACTCACATGTGTCTGCTGGAGTGGCGGGAGGCACTTTCCCTCCCAGGAGGTAATCTCCCTGCCTGCAACTGGAAGATTACAGCTGCCCTGCACGCAAGCACTCAGCCTATGTTGCACCTGAGGCGTGCTTCATAAACATGCCCCTGAGCTGTAAACAGGGAGGAGCCCGCTTACGTGAGCCCTGTTCTTCAAACAGCAGAAGGGAAGATGGAGCTTCAGAAATACAAGGCAAAATGAAATAATCCTGTGGCCTGAACCACGCTGGTTCTCCCGGTTTGTGCTGCGCAGAGCCCAAACAGCTCATTGGTTGCTGCAGACCTTGGCTGGGGCACAGGTCCCAAAATGGGGGACACTGAGATGGAACTGAAGTGAGAGATGAATTCTGGTGACAGCAGCTCCAGGCCCTTCGTAGGGCCTGAGGCTCGCTGCAACGCAACGAACGCGCCCCTTCCCCCCTTCTACCTGCACAGCAGACTCCTGCTCCAGCATCCCTTCAGGAGATCCTTGCTTGCAACAAGAAGGCAAGGGGTCCACAGTGGTTGGTGCATGCCCTCTCTGAAAGACACGCAATGGAGTCACACCAGTTGTCCAAGGAACAGCCCTCTTGGAGTCCACTCCCATCCCACCCTCTCCTCCTGCTCACACAACACAGAGCCACGCTCACCTGGCACTCTGTGCATTCTTCTGCCAGTGCTTTGCTACCCTATTTGGGATCCTTGAAGAAGCCCTGGGGTGGTGCAAGGCAGCCACGCATCTTGGTGCCTGTTTCTAGCTAGCAATCAGCAGGTCCTTGATACCAATTACAAGTTCAAGAACTTTCTCCACTGGGACAAACTAGCAAGGCTGTGACCTGATCACACCTGGAAGGGTCTGGGCATCACATTGATAAACGCAGCTTGTGTCACTTTTCAGTTGCAGAGGGGACAAAATCAGCTGCATTCCTCTAGGGAATTCCAATAAAACAGACCAGCCCACCACTGGCTGAGCTTACACCAGTTGGAGCAGGAAAAGAAAATCAAGAGAATCTGTTAGGATAGAAAAATGCTTTGCACTATGTAGAAATTGAGATTTTTTTTCTTACTGAGCCAAGTCCGGGTTGAAACATTAGAGCAGGAATAGTCCTTACCTCAGTCCAAGGAAATACATTCCCCTTGTCCAGTGCAATTCAGTACTTCACAGGAAGTGTGGGATCCCTTAAGTGTTCGACCTATAATGAACTCCTCCTCCCATTGAGGCTGAGCTCAAATGTTAATTATCAGAAGGATGAGCAATGTAACTGCTGCCTGGCACACTGCATTTGCTCTAAAATGTATTGCTGCTCTGAACCTCCAGGCAACATCAGCCATGTCTCAGATCCTGCTGTTTTTTTCCCCTGTGTAACACATCATGAATGCAAATACGAGTCCTCTGAAGATAGAACCCTATCAGCCAGGGCTATGAGTCTATCCAGAGCTACTGGCTCAGCATAATGCAAACTTTCTGCAGGTTCTTTTCCATGAAAACACTTCAAAAGTCTCAGGCAATGCTTTAACACTTACCTGTTTTCAGAGCTTGAACTGAGACGGGCTGGACTGCTCACTCCCTGGGATTTTGCACAGTATCACACAGTACACCTATGTGAACATCTCCTTACAGGCCTCTGAGACTGCACAAGTCAGCATCACATTGCGTGTTCAGTTAGCTAACACAGAGCTAAATCAGAGCTCTGAAAAAGGAAGAGATTTCAGTGGATGCAATAGAAACAGTCTGTTAGAAAGTGCAAACCAACGTCGAGAAAAAGCATCCAGGACAAAGAGTGAATAATTGCTGTCAGCTCTCTTGTGCCCCTGTGTGCAACCCCAAGGACTTCAAGGAGATTTTTGCCAGCCAGGGCTCTGATATTGTCATAGCACTGTTCCCCAGATGCTATAATATCTATCATACAAGGGAAAAACAATCTCTCCTACCATCTTGTGACAGCACACAGCAGTCCTAGTGCTTCAGTGCCATGGCATGACAGGTTTACACCTGAGATTGAGCTCCAGCACCAACTGCAGACAGAGGTGGGACAGAGGGAAGTGATCTGTGAGCAGTTAGGAGGAAGGGGGGATCCCTGAAGAAAACTGCTCCTACAGACACAAAAAGTTTGGGGTTTTGTTTGTTTGTTTGTTTTTTTTGAGAGATACGGAGTCCTGCCTCTGACCTTTCCTGAGAGTCTCTGGAGAAGATCTTCAGCTGCACTATGATGTAGCTGTGAAGGAATGCAGGGCTCCTTTCTCTGCCTTGTTATCTTCCATGTAATTAGAGAAGGGATCTCCGGGCACCACAGGCTGCTGCCAGTCCCTTCTCAGCTGTTATTTTCCTTTCACTTAAGGGAATGGAGAGTGCATGAAGCAGAGTATCTCACACACATTGCCCTGGGGAAGAGTAAATACCTCTCTTTAACAGTGGGCTTCAGTTCTTTGAGGATACAGCACGGTGCTTTTGCTCAGAGAATGATGTACATCCTTTCCTGCATTCAGCAGCTTGAGAAACAATGCTAGGACAGGTCCAGGGCTGAAGTCACTGAAGGGAAGCTGCTCTTCCAAGCCATCACTGCAACCTCCTGGAGCAAGGACAAGTGTGCAGCAGGGTTTGTTTTATCCAGCACATCCCCTTTCTGCTTACTGAGGACAACAGTCCCTGTGCTCCAGTCACCTGCTGAGGCTCCGAAGAGCAGCCAGCTCCCTGGCTCCTCTGGTCAACAAGCTGTTATCTTAGGAAACATGAATGCAATTTTAAGGCTGAGTCAGGCACAAAAGATGAATAATTTAAATCCTTAGCAATTCTGTTGCTGTTGCCCAGCTGTGGGTAATGGAAGGTACTGAGCTTCATGCAAGGAGAGAGTTGCAATGAAAACCAGTGCTGCTGTCAGGCTGCTTCCTCCTGCTAGGAGAGAATAGCCATGATGCAGGCATAAATAAGCAGATAACAGCACTCTGCAGTGCTGAGCCAGGCACTCTGATGCTAGGAGCAGGCAGTTCTCTGAGCATAGCAAGCTTGCTTTCCTGTGGCATTTGTTGTTTCTGGCATCTGTCATTTCACAGAAAGTCAGTGCGAACTGCTGGTGCCTTCCCTCTCTAATGTCAATTCCTCGGCTTACAAAGTGCTGGAATCATCAGCCATGGGCCAGGGGAAGGGCATGGAAGGGGCCACACTGACACTTGCTCTTCAGCTTTCTGTCAGAGCAGGAGCTGTGCAGTGTTATGTGATGGAAGGGGAACAAAGATTTGCTTTTCTCACATCTTCCAGGCTGTGTTGTCATGCTGGTTGCCTCCCCATCCTCTTGTGTGTGTGAGAGAGAGAGAAAAGAGGAAGATACTTGTCCCAAAATCAGTCTAAAAACCTGCACCCAGAAGCATGAGGCAGATTAAAACTTGCAAGAAAACCACTGGACTGCATTTGCAAAGCTGAGCAGCAGGTAAGTATAGGTAATCTTTTCCCATTGTACCCTTGGATCAAATAAATCTTTCATGGCTTTCCATAAGTTCAGAACTGTTTGAGCTGTGGAATTCACAAAGGAAATCCAGAAATGCAAATTGAAAAGAGCAGCCTGCCCTTTTACTCCAAGAGACAAACTGCCTACTACCAGAATCACTGCTGCTTGGTTCTTAGAAGAAACAGTGTGAGCATGACATCAGAAAGTTTGGGCAGCCCTTGCCCCTCACTGCATTGACACTGATCAAACAGAAGGCCTCACTGTGTGTCCCTTTGACATTTTATGATACGAGCCATAAGATGTTCTTTTTGCTCCTCATTTGGATGAGCCAGGCAACGCAGCTGAAAATGTTATCTGACCAATTCATCTTATAAGCTCATTCATGCACAGAAATCTCAGAGACTCAGATTCATTGAGTGCAGACATGAAAGAAGTGCAGAATTCTCACATAAAAGCAATATCCATGGACTCTTGCCTATGCTACAGCTTAGCTCTGTGCTGTCCTGGCTGCACAGACAGATAGAAAATGCTCAGCAGCCTCTGCATTTGCTCCCCATCCATTGGACCAGAAGACATCTTGCCCACAACATTAACAACTGCTGTTGTTTTTGTTGTTGTTGTTTTAATTCTTTTTCCCTCTGCTGAAGGCCAAGCAGTTCTGAGAGCAAGGAGTATCACCTAACTGAGCCTGAATTGGAAAAAAACAGCTCTGGGAAATCAGCTTGGCATTATGCCCACAGTGTGGGCCAAGGGCAAATCACTTCTTAATTACTGCTTTAGGTACAAGTTTCTGCTTTCACTCAGGCGGGTACCGATCTGAAAGACATCAGGAGAGCCTTATCAAGCTGCTGCTAATTAAGCCCAGCTATTGATCCTATTGAATCCAGTGATTCTGCTGTAACAGCAAGATTGCAGATCCGCCGATTCCCAAATGTTATTATGCCTATTTGGGGATCTCAAGATGGACAAACATCCAGCATTGAGCTGTAATGCATGCCTGGAGGCAGTGCAGACTGACATCCTGTGAGAGCAGATGAAGGCACAGTCCCCACCTGGCAAGATGCACTCTGCTCCTTTTGGCAAGAAATTTCTGACTCTGCTGCTCAGCATCAAGGGAAGGAAAAACCTTTTGCTGTACCTCTACTCTCAGCAGCCACCTGGTCTTTGAGGTCTGCAGTGCACCTAAATGCCGTGGTCCCACCAAGATCCTCCTGTTCTGTTCTATCAGATCACTTCAAGCAATTGAACAGAACTTAGAAACCATTTCTGTAAACCTTTTCTATTTTCAGTTCTCAAATTATTTTCTTCTGAGTTTGTACCAGCAAAAAAAGCCTTCAATCAGTGCTTTGTGGTGTATGCAGTCCTGTCACCAGCTTTGCAGCAGTCCGACAGGTGTCAGGAGCTCTGCACAGAGCTCAGAGGGAGTTATTTTGATATTCAGAGCAATAAGCAAAACAAGCTGTACACCTGTGATTTGACACAGAAATGCTCTGGAGTTTGATGAAAGGCTCAAATATCAACAGCAAGGCAGGAAGGTTTGCACCAAAACTTGAAATAATTCCAATCAATATTCATGCCACAGTCAGCTGCAACTTGTACAGCTTTTTCCTCTGAATAGTCGTGGATTGCAGCTGGGCAAAAATAACGAAATGAGGATTGACGAGAGACATGGTGGCACTGCAAGTGCAGCACAGCCATTTCCAGGAACAGCTGTGGTGTGACAGTGCTGGGCTGCAGGTTAGCATGAGGGGTGGTTGCAGAATCAAGGCACAGTCGTAGAAAAATAAGTCATGGGAAACCTCCATCCTCTTCATGCCTCTAATGGATTGAGGTTGTTAGACGCTCCCCTCCTGGGAGGTGGATGAGCAATATTGACTGGGTTATGCCATCATCAACAGAATCCACTCAAGGCATTGCCAAGACTATTTGTGAAAACTATAGAGTACTACTAAAAATTTTTGTTGCTAATATTTAGTCCTGGGGATTGTTTGATGGAAAGCCATTGAGATTATGGTGAATATTCGTTCTGCAGGAGCTCGCAGAGCAGATTTGTCCCTGCTTTTCTGGCTCCCATGCAGAAAGAAAAAAATCCCAACAATGCTAACTCTTCTTTTTGGAGCTCAGAGCTTCGTGTACCATCAAAAGCAAACTCTGCACTCACAAGGTCACTCCTCTTTTTTCTACAGATGCTGTCCAGAGGGACTGTGACAACATTAACATGCTCATCCTGGCACAGAGCTGCCCTATAAAGGTGCCCTATATAGGTGGTCCCCACCAGCTTGCAGTGCCAGTGCAGAGCAGACCCCAGAACGAAACCTACTTGAGAAGTGGCTTCTTACTCCTTACCTCAATCCCAGAACTTAGAAACACGTTGTTGAGCCTTTGCTGATCACCTTGCTGAGTAAGCTAAGAGGCCAAATGCTTCCTTGGATTCTTTTCCACTCATGTTCTGATGACTGTGCATCTTGTGGGCATGACTATTCCAGATACCATTGATTCATCTATTTCCTCAGCATCCTTGACATGCCTGCACAACATGATATGAGCATTACAGCAAGAGCAGCAGCTCACACCAGTGTGCTGCTCACAGTACAACAGCCAGTTGTTCTCCAGTTACTGCAATGCTCTGAAGAACCGTTTGGCAGACCTGCAAAAAATCCACTTGAAATCTTGAACCTCATGGGTTCCATTTAAGGATAATTAATGAATGATTCAGAAGAGATGTGCACACCTCTGTTGTATGCCCACAGCCCTGTTCTCAATGATCAGCATTTAGGATGATTTCATCTCTCAGTATCTTTTCCTACGGTCTAATTCAATTGCATAAGATGCTTCTGGATGACAGAAGAAGAGTCCCAGAAATAGTTATTTGTACATGATTTTGGGAAGGGAGCAATTCTGTAGAATAAGCGTGAAGATAGAGCTCTACTGACCTAGCAGAGCTAATGAGAGTCTCACAATTGTTCGAAACTTGAAGGAAATCAGCTATTTTATTTCTCCCAGTGGACATCTTTCACTGAACACCTGCAGTATCAGCACTTTTCTCTGACCTCAGCTACAGAACTTTGCCCCTGAGAGCTCTGTCAGCTACTATATGGGAGATGTGGTGTATTCACTGTTGGAAAGTGTCACAGTGTCACACTCTCTAGATCTATCTGTGTCTGTGATGGGGGGACAGCAGGCCCACAGGACCACAGCCCAGAAGAGATGGGAGGATGCTGACAGTTTACAGGTTGGTTTGGTCCAGCTGTGACTAATGGGGCAGGGGGATCCACTGACCCACACCCCAGGAAAGGGGAAAGGGGACAAGGGGGAAGGGTAAGGAGATGGGAGATGGGCCTAAAAACAGAGCAGATCTGAGGAGGAGAGTTAATTTACTAAATATGATATCGGAATGCAAGATAACACTATAGGATAGGATAGGATAGGATAGGATAGGATAGGATAGGATAGGATAGGATGGGGATTGAGGCTAATCAATCCCAATCTCAAATAAAATGAGAGTGTGTCCAAAACTGAATGCCTTACTCTAGAGATGAAGGCAAGATGGTCTGAGCATGCATAGCTGATATGAGCAGCAAGAAAAGGAAAGATCTTGTGACTTGTGAGTTTTGCTCTGAACACAAAGTGCTTTTGCACTCAAAGTGCATTATTTTGGAGATGTAGACAAAATACATAGCATCAGTTGGAAAGCCCATGTAGGAATAGAGTGTCCTCAGTCGCTCTAGGGAGTCTAGTCTAGCCTAGGAGAAACAAAGACTGCTGGAGACTGCTGTGCTCCTGGAGGCAATGGAAACAGAACGCATCTTTTGATGCACATGAGTTTGGAATTAATTCAGCTGATTGCAGACTTGCAATGATGCCATACCCACCACAAACCACATGACAGCATTATCTCTACCACATCATCATCTCCCAAAGGATGCAGCAGCACAAGGAGCAGGAATGGCAACTGAAATGACCTGCTTTCCTTCATTGCACCAACCAGCAAGCAATTCTGAGGCTATAACTCAGCTGACCTACTTGCTGTGCAGCGCAGCATCCTTCTCTCCCAGACCAGAGGAAGCTGAGGTGGGCAGTCCAGAGGCAGAGGTCTGCATCACAGCACCCCAAAATGGGGAGACAGCCCTTTGCACTGAGCAGACCTATGAGGATGCTGGCCGTGGTCAGCAGTCCCCTCTGCCCCAATGCACCCAACAGCACCATCCCACCCCAGAAACATCCGAATCCTCTCAGCTGCTGCTGCCATGGAAACGCCAGAGAGAGGCTCCGCCAGCCTTTGATGTGCTGATCTGTTTAAAGCATGCAAAATGCAATTCAGAAGCTGGGGAGCTGTGTGGGGTGCATCTGGCTGCCCTAAAGATGGAGGCTCTCTGAGGAGCAGGGATTAATGCACGATGGTGGGCACCGTGGCCATCCGCTGCTAGAGCAGTCACAGCGTGCTGCTCTCTGCCCCGGCTCACACACTTAACAGAGTTTAATATTTAACATCAGACAAGCTGCTGTTTCACAGGGTAATTTGAGTTATTAATAAAAAATCTGCCCTAAATAATTCAAAAATAAGATGCTGTTACTCCAGTTTATCAGCACTGGCAGCAAGTGCTGGGAGCTGAGCACCAGAACAGCGCTGGCCACAGAGCAGTTAATGAGGAGCCTGGAAAAGGCTGCTGCAGCGTCAGAACATCAGTGGATACAAGCAACATGCAGCATAATACTGTCCCCATCTCCTGTCACATCATAGGCAGAGAAGTAGGAAGCAATTCCCAATGAAAACAAGGGAAACACAGGACAAGCAGGCTGCTTGATCCCCTCTCCAGGAGCTCACAGAGATCCCCTGCCTTGAAAGGGCATCTCCAAGCCCAAAAAGCACCGCACAACTGCATACCTTCAAAGATGCATAGTCTTGTAGCATTTAGCACTACGGTTCCCTGAGGATTTGCTGTCGGTAACAGACAATGTGAGCCACCATCCCCTGCATCCCAATGTACCCTTGGTGGGCACCCAGATTGTAGTGGTCCATTGCAAGCCAAGGAGCCCTGAAATGTGAGGGCACAAAGGAAGATTTCATTTGTTTGATGGGGTTTCGTGCCAGACTTCTAACACAATATGCTTTACATCATGAAAAGCAGGCACCCAAAGTGGTCTCCTACAGAAGTAATGTCTATGTCCTGCACTCTGCCATTCCCAGCACATTCATTTTAATGACGTCCTACTCCACAGCTGCAGCTGAAAGCCTCCAGCTCTGCAGTCTCTTCTCTTACCTTTTTGCAATCTATTGTACCTTGGAAGCATCTTCCAAACAACATGTTTGTATGCATGTTTGCTCGTGCTGACCTTCAGAACCACAGTCAAAATTAGGTCCTTGTTTTCATGGTTCAGCACCCAAAAAGACTCCCTGAATCTCTACTGTTTCATTGCAGCTCACAATCACATCGTTGGCATGCCTTACATCTCTTAATGTAAACACAAACATGATTAGTGCATATTTTTGAGGTACTTTTTGCCTTACACCCTCACGTTCTCCCCGTAACCTGCTGGCAGAGCTCAGCAGTTGGCAGCACAGAGCAGACAGCTGGAGGAGTGGAGCTAACTGTAGTGGTTGCAGCTCCAGAAAAAGTACAAAAAGCACATGGCTTTCTTTGGGCTGGTTTTATTTTTGTTTGATTGTTTGATGTTTCCCCTAAAATCTCACAAGAACTACAGAGGCAATTCTGAGGATGCTGAGCTCCTTTCTTTATCCCAACAGGTCGCGATAGATTCTTTCTGCCAAGAGCAAACTACAGGATCGTGTGATATTTCTGAGCCACCTTCCTTTGTCTTCTGTGTGCAACGTTGCATTTATTTGCAGCACAATGTGTAAAAACGCACCACTGCTTCAGGGAGGAAGCCTGCAGACCACAATAGCCAACATGCAATGCCCCTTTCCAATGCAGACTTGATCTCCCTGCTGTATAAAGGAAGTGCTTCACTACTGCAGTTGCGGACTGGTTGCTGGCTGGTCTGAGATGCATTTCTCCCTGTTGACCCTATTGATGGGGATGAGTTCAACAAGTTATGTGGAGGAGCTGTGCTGATGCAGTACTGATGGGGAGCAGATATTTTATACTTTTGCCTTGTGATGCTGTAGCTCCTTTTACTGCAATCTTAGCACTGCAGCAGGCTTGACGGGCGGCATTTTTCCTGCTATGTGCAGATAGGGATCAGCCTGCTGGCCATCACGTTGTTTTTTTAACAGGAACACGTTATTGTGCATCAATGCATGGCCAACCTGTGTGTGAAGAGAGCTGCCATGCCATGCTTCACTGAGCAATTTCTGCTTGGACCAAATCTAGCGAGCTGAGCTAATCCTGCCAGGAACAGAGCTGAAGAAGGGAAAAGATGAGAAAATCATAGCCTGCAGGACAAATATAGACCCTATGAAGGCATCTCTTGCCCAAGAGCTGAAATATTGTCACGAGAAAGACAGTGGCCCACAGATATATTTTCTATTTCAGCTTTTATGTTGAGAAGCAGAACCGTAACCGTCCCCAGTAAAGGGAAAACAAGTACAGCATAGCAAGCCAGTTAGATAAGTTTTCCCTTACTGAGAGCTCTGCAGCACATTTCCCATCCCCACACCACCACTCCTCAAGCTCATCACCAGCCTGAGTTCTTTCATCCACCGCAAGGAAAATTAGGAGCAGAGAGAAGCAGCTGAAAAGGAGATCCATGCAGAGACTTGCAAGGACAGGGAACGGAATGATTGAAGTTCAGCATCTTATTTAAGAACAGACTATTTACTCCTATAATGAAAACCATGGAAACAATGAACAGCAAAACATTATTGATTCAAACATCAGAGTAAGGACCTAGAAATGGAAGAGGCGTGCTTGTAATTACAGCGCCCAGTGAAAACTCACGCCAGTCATCAACAAAGCAGAGCTGATTCCCAGGCAGACCAAAGGAGGACACCTTTCACACTCTCCCCTCCCCATTCAGAAGACTGAAAGAGCAAGTTTAGTTGGCATGTGGCCTCTGCCTAAGGCTTGACAGTGAGAGAAAGGTACAGCCCAAAACAGCCCTGCTCTTCTTGTACGAGAGATTCTGAAGTTTTTGAGTACCATTCAGAGCAACTATGCTTTAACTGACAACGCAGAGCTGGGCTGTGGAATAGCATCTACTGCTCAGTAGAACAGTTCTCTCCAAGTAGAGCAATGTGAGCATGCTAAGGCACAGTGCTTTGCACGAGAAGCAGTGCCTGCAGCTGGGGACAGAAGACATCGAGATTAATTGCAACGTGTTTGGAGATGGAAAGGTCAAATGCTTGGAAAACCCAGAACAACACTTCCCACCACGCTCACCCAAGGTTTGGAGACCCTGTGTGGGGACCATCCACAGATAGGGGCAGCTCCCATCCAGTTTCTGTTTGGAGATGCTCAGTGCAAGTAGGAAGCGCGCTGTCAAAGCTGAAACTGTCCTCAGCTCACCCCACACCTGTCTGTCTCATCCACCAAGCAGCACTCCTCATGGCATTTATCTTATTCTTTGCTTTGTGCTGTAATCAGCAAGTCCTGGGTAAGACACAGAGCTCCCCTTCCAGGCATGGCATCAGGACGGAATTAAATGGACTCTGAACACACAAAAGTTTTCCTGTAGATTATTTAGAATCTTTTGTTTTCTGAACAAACATCACTGTACGAAAAGTAGAAATATGTTCACTATTCCTTTGCAGTGACCACCAGATGAGCTGAAGATATAACATAGTTTAAGGTATGTTCAAGTAGTTCAAGTATAAACACAGTTTATGCTCTGCAAAGGCTTTAGGCACTGTGTTCTCTGCATTTCCCATAGCAGAGGTCCAACATACAGATATGAGCACACCCTGCAGGACCTGAACAGTCCCGTTACCACACTACAGTAGAGGACTGTAACCATCACTTCTATTTGGTGCTGGCTTCTATTGTACGTTTTTGCTTAAGTAAGAGGCTTCTCAGTGACCTGAGCAGGCAGACATACAGACAGACAGACATGCACGCACTCTCTCCCTCTTCCCTCATCACTGTATAAATATAGAAGCCTCATCTGTTTTCTGAATGCTCTCCTGCTGCTGCATTCTCTCCCTCCGCCTCCCCAAGACACTTTGGTGAATACCTGCTACTTTTGTTTCTACTGTAGATTTCTCACTGCAACATTCCAAAGTCCTAGATTTAACACAGTCCCCTATATTTGCTGCCCTACACAGAACTGTATGGCTCCAGCTTTGTGTTTCAGCCACTCAGCAAAATTTGGTTTGCAAATAGAAAGGGAGCTTGGATTTTGCTGCTGTTTGCAGCACTGTGGCTCAAAACATGACACAGTTCATCTGTGAAATGAAATGTGAATTTTCAGATGGTTCTGCTGTGCAGAACTGTCCCTTCATAGAGAGATGTCAGAAATCTCCCCATGTCCAGGAGGATGCCCTCTGCACACCTCAGATTTGAATGAGACTATCCACTCCAGGGGCAGTTTTCAGAACCCACCCTCATGGCATTCTGAGAGCTGGAGGTGATGGCTGCTACAGAGACAGAAGTAGGGCAGAGAACCCAGAAATCTCTGCAATCCTTGACCCATCCTTTCATCATGCCTCCAGTGATGCTGCATCTTCCCAGACCGGCGAAGTGACTGTACGTTTCTGAAGAACACTGACATACTTAGGCAATTAAAATGAATTAGCATAATTCAGACCAAACTTCTAATTTTAGCTCTCTGTAAAGCTGCTTTCCTTCGAGCTCACATCTAACCTGCTGTGCCTCAGCTGCAGCACAATAGAAGCAGCTTCTTATCATGAACAAAGCGAGCTGCACGTGCTGCCAAGCTCAGCTCTGTCACAGAAGGCACCCTTGGCCTCATCCCCTGCACATAGGAATTGCTCTGCTTGGGCAGACCCTTGGGATGCTCCACACTGCACAGGGGACCAGGTACAGAGGACAGGGCGCACTTAAAAGACTTTGCACCAGAAATGGATTTTGGAATGCTGCAAGGTTTAAAATGTTGCTTGCCTCGTCCCAGTATCTTGATATCTGCAGGGTTCATCAAACCTGCATGGATACCGTTATTACCTGAATAATTTAAGAACCTGCAAAGCAGCCGTGTGGAATGGCACCAGCTTTGTCTGCGTGCCTTCTCCCCCCGCCGATGCGTGCCTGCAGCAGCAGGGGCTGCTCCGACCTCCCATCCTTTCCTTCCAGATGCCTACATTCAGCTCATGTTTTCCACGCCAGCCACTCCCCCTCCCATCACCGGCGCTGCAGTTCCTTGTCTGGAAATGTCAGGAAAGGACAGATGCACAGGCTCTGAAATGCCTTGCTAGCTCAGCAGTGCACACGCTGTTCTTCACTTACAACTGACTTGGGTTTTTGTGCGCAATTTGGGAAAGCAGTCAAACACGGCCCATTATACATCAGCTCCCTTTACCTGAGAGATCAGCTGAGCACCGCATCCGCCAAGAGCCGAGGCGGACAGTGAGAGAAGTAAAAGGAACCGCTGCTGAATACGTGTTCTGGTTTTTCTAACTGGGCCATCTGAAAGATCTCTTGGGCTGCGCCCATTGCAACGTCACGTGTTCAGCCACAAGCTCCTGTAACCTCTCTGCTGTTGCAGGAGCACGGAGGGAAGTCTAATTTCTGCACTGCCATTTTGATTTCTGCACGTAAATATGACACACCCTGCCCTCTGCCAGCCCTCCTCCCATACTTCATGTCATCACTGGGAGCAAAACCCGAATGTTAGGAGGACAGATGCTCCCATTACAACCAGTGTACGCTGCATTACAAGCTAATGGAAGAAATGCTGGAGGGTGGTTGCGAGTGGCAGCGAGTGAAATTTGACAGAGTTTAGTCAAAAGTAAGTTTGAAAGAGTCTCCTCTACCTTCTGACTCCACGCCAGAAAGAAACAGAGACACAGAAAGGGTTGGAAGGGAGGCCTCCGTGGGTGCTCACAGAGCCCAGCACAGCGCTGATGCTTTCTCTCCTCCCGACAGCTTTTCCATCCGCACAGCACTCCAGTGGCAGGTCAGATCAACAGCATCAGAGGAAGCTGTCATCACACGCAGCCCCCATACTTCCCAAGCCAGCCTAAAACACAAACTAAATATTTATTACGCTTCTACAAAGTCTGAATCTCCTCACGGTGCAGCCGGCTGATGTAATCCTCCCCAGATCCTGACAGGACTTGCTTCCCCAACAACCTTGACAGTGCTCAGAGGGTCACAGTTACCTTCTTGTCACACAAATCAATTCCTTGTTGGCACACTCGGCAGACAGAGGCGGGGATGTAAATCCTCCACCACTGCGACATCAGTCGGTGCATTGGATCACCTTAAAGGAGCTCAGTTTTGCCCCAGTCTATCAGCAGCTGCAATACAAAACAGTTTCCCAGCTTTACACCCTGGACTCTTACAGCAGAAAAGGTTCATCCTTTCATTGCTGTCTCGAACCCAGCGCACACACAACACACACAAAGATTTAAGATGGCACTGCGATTGCAAAGTCCTTTCCTAAGCCTAGATAACAGCTAGATGGCTAATGACTGAGCCCATTCCTAGAAACACACTCTAATTCTTTGCCTACACACTACCCTGGTTACATTCACAGTGGTACTTCCTTGGCTCTCAAAGGCTTTGGTTGCCCTGATACTCCATGTCCCTCCTCACTTCCACAGCACAGCATCAAGCTTCAGGCAGAAGATAACAGTGGAGTTTCTTCTGACTCCTTCTGTGATGTATTTGAGTATAAGGTAATGAGCACTGAAGTATTTCCTGCTGCAGCACGTAGAGGAAACTCTGCACCAAGCACGGGTTGCTATCTGATAGCAGGGAGACATATGCCTTCAAAGTAGTCTGTTTTGTTTCCTGGAAATGGGCAACTAGGAAAACAGCCAGAAGTTTTATGCTGAAAGTTTCTCATTAGGAAACATTTTCTTTTAGCACTCAAGGCTGTATTGTGTGAGATACTGTACAAATTCAGACTGACAGACTGTCCTAACCTTGGACAATTGCAAGCCAAAGGAAATAGCAGTGAAAAGAGAAAATAAGTGGCTTAATTCTCCTTGTTCAAAGCAAACAAAATAGAGGCAGCAGTGCAGGCGCTGGGCTCTGTTCTGTAGAGCCCAAGCAAAACTTACTCTGAATGTACTGAGAGGGTGCATCACAGAACACACAACATACACAACAACACAAAAATGGCTGGAAATGCTGCAGAATGCAAACCACTCGTGCCCCAAGGCATAGACAGCATCAGCTTGCATGGAGTTAGAAGCAAGTTGTTCTGTGGCCTCCACTGCTTTGTTAGCACCTCTTAGGATGACTGGTTGTCCCTCTGCTATTGACACCAATAAAGTGAATTGCAGCAGTGGGCTCAGATACAGACCAAGATATAAACATGCAGCGCTGTGCAAACTCAGGGCAAACAGTCTCTGCCCACAGGAGCCTGTGTTTGCATAAAGAGCAAGAGACAACCAGCTGGCACATGTGGAGAAGTAGAAGGATCCAGTAACACAACGTTTTCAGTCCACACTGGTGGCAGTGTGAGAGTATTTTGACAGAGAGGCCTCCTGTGTGGATATATGGTAAGCTGCATGCAGACTTCCAAGGCACCAGCCAGGCACCCAAGCTAACATGGCTAACATGGAGACCCCCTCAGCTGCTGCTGCAAAACAGAATGAGAAAACTCCAACATGTTCTGGTAGCCCTTGCTGTGGTGCCAACACAGACTTGTGCAATAAACTGCCACCACTGCAGACACTCAGGCGGTGGGAAGCAAGGGATAAAAAGGGAGGACTTTTCCTATAGCAAAATCTCCTGGTTCACAGTAGAACTCCTTAACTGCTTTCTGATGGCATAAGAGACAAGCTGCTCTGTAGAAGAGTAAAAGGCCCTGCAGGGAAAAGCTGTGAGCCTGCATGCAGTAAGCAGTTATCACTGAAGAAAGCAATGTTTGACTTGCCAGTGTGGTAGTTAAAAGGCCCCATACCCAGTGACAAGCTGCTGTCTACAGACTTTATATCTGTCCGTTGCTCTCTCCAAATTCACTGTTCTCTGCAAACACAGAGCCCTCCTGGGCTGCCCTGGTCAGACATCCCAGTGCTCAGCCCCATGCAAAAGCATCCCTCACCCCAGCTTTGGTCCCAGAAGAAATGGAGGGCAAGCAGGGGCTCTGTCTGTCCTGACTTTAGGCTGAGCTGTGAGGCAGCCCAGCTTCCCTTCCCAAAGCATGTTCCCTGGGCATAATGCTTGGGAAGGGAAAGCTGAAGCTCAGGTACTCTGCAGTGTGCCAGAATCCTGCTGAATTCTCCAAGAAGACCTTGCACCATGTCCCCCATGCTGTGACAGTCCTGAATAGTGCACTGCAATGCTTATGGCTGCAAGATCTATTTCATCTGCCCAGGGAGGTGGTGGAGTCTCCTTCTCTGGAGATGTTCAAGACCTGCCTGGATGCCTGCCTGTGCGACCTGCTGTAGGGAACCTGCTTTGGCAGGGGGTTTGGACTCGATGATCTCTGGAGGTCCCTTCCAACCCCTGCAATTCTGTGATTCTGTGATTCTGTGATCTCAGGGAATCAGAGCCCCTGGGTTTATTCAGGGGAGTTTTGCCATCTCCATTGTTTATGTCACTGTCTTGGCAGTAAGCATAACTCAAGTCTCTCACAAGGAGCTGACAAGAAGGTCCCCCCTGGTCCTTTCCACCTGAAGAAGCCCAGA